TTCCTCCGCAATGCACAATGATTAGTCGCGATCCTTTGTTTGCAGGCATGTTAGGCGTACACATTCTCGAACCATCAGTCCACCCTTTCGTAACTGTGTCGTAAGTATCATACCAAGTTTCGTCCAAATAGAAAATTTGCCGTTGTTCTTGTCTATATTTAGTTATTTGTTCTAAGTATTTGTTACGCAATTCCACTATTCTTCTGCTTTCCATAACTACTTGACGTTTGTTTATTATTTTAAATCTAAATCCTAGTTTCTTTATCCAATTCTGAAGAGTTTTGCACAATTTCAATTGTAGGAATCTCATTGCTTTCGTAACAGCCGTATATTGTTTTTTTTTAATGATTTTATTAGATGAACATCTAAAGGCTTTGAATCAAATCGCGTCTTGCGTTCATAAGGTTTGTTTTTGACTATTTTTACGTACCTTTGAGAAAAGAATTTCAGTCAAATCTGATGTTGCTTTTAATAGTTTTTTTCCCTCGAAATCAAACTTGATATGTAGATTCTTATATACATTGAAACATTCTCTCTGTGTTTCAATATTCAAATGCATCCGAATGTTATTCGCTGGTATCTCTTTTTCGCATTGTTCACCAGCGCTATTGGAATCACTACAGAGGAAAAAGTCTGCGTTGTTATCACACTCGTTATTACTATTAGTACTTGTCCAACGACGCCGCATTTTAAACAAATAACAAAAATTTTGAGTAATTATAACTTCACCAATATCGAATTTCAACACTCAAATCCCGATCAGTTCCTAAACTGAACATTAACAACACGACTCTTCTAACCATCCTCACATTCTATTGGTCACCGTAACATGACTTCAAATTTAATTTTATGACTCTCCAGCCAATCATAAAACTGGGTTAGTAAAAATTATCCAATACGAACCGCCAATTCTTCAGTCCGCGTGGACTAATTCGTAGCGGCATTATTCCTTTGTATTGTTTTTTTTGGCCTTTGAGTTCGTCGAAGCTTTAAGAATTACTATATCGGTTACTTCGACTATACTGTATATGATCATCAAGTAATTCTACTAGTTCCAAACCATTTCAATTCTTTGAAGTAATAAAGTTATGTTACCATTTGTTGGAAATGCGAACAGCTAATTTCTCCGTAATATAACAACAAAAGCAACGCGGTAACAAAAAGTGCATAGAATTTTTATTAGATTTGCGGGATCTGGTAATTATAATCGAAGCAGAACCTAGCATGACTTCCGCCTTTTTCAAGTTTCTCTTCACCTCGTCGCAAATGTAATTCACTGACGAGAAGTACGCTTTGTTTCAATGTAATTGTAAACGTTTCACGACAACCCGGTTACATGTAATTTTATACTAGGTGTTCTTGGAGATAAGATGCGACTCAGAAAATATATGAATTTCTAGAGTTTGGAAGAAAGAAATGTTGCACTTCTTAAAACTTTTTTGTCATCTTCTTTGTTAAGCACTTGGAACGGAAAACATATTGTGACACAAATTTACAAGTTCAATTTTATATTATGATTATGACAGTGGCTAAACCCTAACTCTTCTGAGACAACTCAAATAAATATGTAAATCAAATCAAACTCACAATACAATAAACAGATAAATTCAAGAGACCGAAATGAAAAACGAATTGCCACATTTCACTAATTCACATAACCGTCACGGAATTGAGACCACAATTCGGGTGATCACCCGAAAACGATTGTGTATACTAACAATCGAAACGTCGTGAAGTAACTTGGTTTGGAATTTTTCAATTTACATTTCTTTTCAATAGTTTTTTAATTCTCATCTCGTGTTAATAGTTCAATTTTTTATTTTTTGGTTGTTGCTTGTATTTTATTTCATTGTAATTTCAGTTTTTTCTGCTTAACATAATGGTTATTTTTCAGCTGATCTTTTTTAATTTTTTACAGATTCTTTCAGGAATTTCAAATCAATTTATATCATATTAGACAATGGAATTCCGAACTAATGAAATACAATCCTTCAATTCAAACTCCATCTTGAATACCAACAGTTTATAGATGATATTTAGAAATTTCAAGATCATAATTGAAAGTTATTCACATAAGATTATTCAATTCGAACGGAAACCTCATTCTGAGCTTCAATGAAATCGAAAAGAGTGCGCGACGTACTGCAAATAATAATTGTACTTTCGAACAAATGGTTTTTTTTTGATATTTTGTTTTTATACCAATGCATTCAGCTGAGAATATTTCAAGAATATTTCACGAATACCAATCGACCTAAAAATTGTCTCAGATAAATGTACATTTTTCAAACTTAAACCTTGTTATTCTTGAGAAATACCGGTCGAGCAATCAGCAAAAAATGAAAGTAGTCTTCCTAAGGACTCGTGGTTTCATTGTGTTGTTTGTTCTCATGGTATCGCTAAATAACAATGCTGTTTCATCATTTTCCAAACAGTCCAAGTCTCTGCATATGATNGACAACACGACTCTTCTAACCATCCTCACATTCTATTGGTCACCGTAACATGACTTCAAATTTAATTTTATGACTCTCCAGCCAATCATAAAACTGGGTTAGTAAAAATTATCCAATACGAACCGCCAATTCTTCAGTCCGCGTGGACTAATTCGTAGCGGCATTATTCCTTTGTATTGTTTTTTTTGGCCTTTGAGTTCGTCGAAGCTTTAAGAATTACTATATCGGTTACTTCGACTATACTGTATATGATCATCAAGTAATTCTACTAGTTCCAAACCATTTCAATTCTTTGAAGTAATAAAGTTATGTTACCATTTGTTGGAAATGCGAACAGCTAATTTCTCCGTAATATAACAACAAAAGCAACGCGGTAACAAAAAGTGCATAGAATTTTTATTAGATTTGCGGGATCTGGTAATTATAATCGAAGCAGAACCTAGCATGACTTCCGCCTTTTTCAAGTTTCTCTTCACCTCGTCGCAAATGTAATTCACTGACGAGAAGTACGCTTTGTTTCAATGTAATTGTAAACGTTTCACGACAACCCGGTTACATGTAATTTTATACTAGGTGTTCTTGGAGATAAGATGCGACTCAGAAAATATATGAATTTCTAGAGTCTGGAAGTAAGAAATGTTGCACTTCTTGAAAGTTTTTTGTTATCTTCTTTGTTAAGCACTTGGAACGGAAAACATATTGTGACACAAATTTACAAGTTCAATTTTATATTATGATTATGACAGTGGCTAAACCCTAACTCTTCTGAGACAACTCAAATAAATATGTAAATCAAATCAAACTCACAATACAATAAACAGATAAATTCAAGAGACCGAAATGAAAAACGAATTGCCACATTTCACTAATTCACATAACCGTCGCGGAATTGAGACCACAATTCGGGTGATCACCCGAAAACGATTGTGTATACTAACAATCGAAACGTCGTGAAGTAACTTGGTTTGGAATTTTTCAATTTACATTTCTTTTCAATAGTTTTTTAATTCTCATCTCGTGTTAATAGTTCAATTTTTTATTTTTTGGTTGTTGCTTGTATTTTATTTCATTGTAATTTCAGTTTTTTCTGCTTAACATAATGGTTATTTTTCAGCTGATCTTTTTTAATTTTTTACAGATTCTTTCAGGAATTTCAAATCAATTTATATCATATTAGACAATGGAATTCCGAACTAATGAAATACAATCCTTCAATTCAAACTCCATCTTGAATACCAACAGTTTATAGATGATATTTAGAAATTTCAAGATCATAATTGAAAGTTATTCACATAAGATTATTCAATTCGAACGGAAACCTCATTCTGAGCTTCAATGAAATCGAAAAGAGTGCGCGACGTACTGCATCTATCCGCCTCAAGTAGGTCGGCTATTTTCCATATATTCAAACATAGTCTTTTTAAATAATAATTGTACTTTCGAACAAATGGTTTTTTTGATATTTTGTTTTTATACCAATGCATTCAGCTGAGAATATTTCAAGAATATTTCACGAATACCAATCGACCTAAAAATTGTCTCAGATAAATGTACATTTTTCAAACTTAAACCTTGTTATTCTTGAGAAATACCGGTCGAGCAATCAGCAAAAAATGAAAGTAGTCTTCCTAAGGACTCGTGGTTTCATTGTGTTGTTTGTTCTCATGGTACCGCTAAATAACAATGCTGTTTTATCATTTTCCAAACAGTCCAAGTCTCTGCATATGATGATTCAAATGACAATGACCTGTAAGAAGGCCTGTTAGCCATTGTAGTTCATCCCTACTGTAGTCCAACAACTGTTTCGTATCAAGCTTCGAAGGGTGAATAAAAGCCTTAGAGTGAGCCAATCCTGGAAGATTCTGCCAGAAGTCCATAAATCTTCTTGCCATCCAGGTTNTTTTGTATGAAACTCCGATCTCTGTGCGAGCGCTCCAAAGGGGCGTCTATAAAACAAAAATATCTTTTCATCACTGTTTCTCCATGCCCTTAAATTTCCGGTGGGTGAATTTATATTTACCCGTGCGGAGCCGGGGTAAGTTCCAATTATCCCAACCCAAACAATTAGTGACCACCTAGTTTGTCCATTGGTTTGTATAAAATGTAGATTCATCGTTGAGTTTTGATGAAAACTGCGTCGATTTACATTTTCATTTGATTCATCACTAAGTAATACATTGCCAAAAAACTTTTTTTCTCGTTGGTGTTTTTGTTTAGCCCGATGGCAAAAAATTATTCTAATAGCATAGCCCTGGCCATTTAATCCCTGTTGTATGTGGTACGGATGGATTTTTATTAACTTTCTGAATCCTCTGGATTGTTTAAAAATCTGTTTTTCGTTAACCATGGTAGCATATGTATAATTTCAAGCGGAATTCATATATGCATGAAAACATTGGGGTCGCCAATTAAAAAATTTGTTTGTTTAGCAATTACTCTTTTTTTGAACATATTCAGGATATGAATCTTGGCAGTACTATAAATTCAATCATTATTTTTTCTAAAAACGGCGCTATTGGACTTCCTTGCACTAATGGACCAACCTGTAGTAAAAGAAAAGGAGTTATATACTGACCCCTGGGGAGCTTTCCCAAGTTTAGGCAATTTTATGTCTTCCACAATGACGCATTGGGTTTTTTCATTTGGAAGGTGCAATAAATGGGCATATGTTATCAAAGCTAAATAAAGTATTTCATTTTGTTGCACAGTGGTTTATGGTTCATCTTATCTTTATTGTAATCTATGGCCGGTTATAATTGAGTTTTGTTCATCAACATAATTTATAATTTCTCATATGCTATTCTCAAAAGTGCAGTAGTAAGTAATACCTATGACCTGCCTTAAAATCCATACTGATATGGAGGTAGTATTTCATTATTATTTGCATAGTTATATATTTGTTCATAGTAAAATTTTGGGTAGGTTGTACCCGCCGAGTTTGAAAAAAATTCTGTGTACTTAAATATGAATTCGAAAGAAAAAATCTGTACTTTCCCTATAAACTTCCAGAGTTACAGTATTTCAAAGTTTTGAAAATTGCAACTTTTAAGCCTTCGTTTTGCACAATACCACATCACCTTCACATCTTATGTCGCTTTCTTTGACACTTTTCAGTTCAGTAATCAACATGTTTCTTATATAAAACGTGATTAAACAATGTATTTTTTTTGCCATGTCTACATTGTAAGGTTAAGGCGGATGTCCCACCAAACGGACTCGTGAATTTCAATAAAAAACTGAACATAATAAAACAAATAGCCGTCAAAAATGATTACTATAGCAGTCTAATACATTCTCTATTATCAAAAAAGTTATGAAGCCAAGCTTTGAAGGAAGTTTACCCAATTCGGAGAGATGAGGATAAAAGTTATAGAACCTTAACCTACTTAGGCCAACTCACTACAAATATTTCAGCTTTTCTGCACAACAAAGGTGTAAATATTGCTTTCAAAACCAACAATAACTTAGGCGTGCACATCAAGAATAACAAAGATAAAAGTTCTGTTTCAGAAAAATCGGAAGTGTATAAATTATCATGTGGGTCATGTCCGATGTTTTATATAGGTCAAACTAAAAGAGTGGAATATCTTTAGGTTGAGATTTTTCTAATGTAATAATTTAAAAACAAAATAATGGCGTTTACTTTAGGATTTTACAAAATTTATTTTCGGCTTTGAGGCGCGAGGCCTTTTGTACCGCGAGACCGTGGGCGGTGGCCCACCCCGCCCACGTCTTACACCACCTCTGCCTATAAGCTTCAAAATTTTCAACTACATTTTTCTTTCAGCTGGGCAAGAGGAAGTTGTGCGAATACTTATCCAACATGGTGCTACTTTAAACGTCCAATCCCAAAATGGATTCACTCCACTTTACATGGCAGCTCAGGAAAATCACGACGGCTGTGTCCGCTACTTGTTATCAAAAGGAGCAAATCAGGCGCTCGCTACCGAGGTACGAACGAAATTGAAATCGTGTAACTGTCGAGATTTCCATTGTTTGATTTGTTTCATTACTTGAATCAAGGAGTAGGTAGCTTTTGTTTCTGGTCGGTTGCTTCGGCGTCTGTGATTTTGCTACTGTAACCGAAATAATTGGAAAATAGCGTATATTTATGTGCAGATTGGTGTTTTCATCAAGTTTCTTAATGCCTTCTCTTGATATTAAAACAAAAACGTAACATCTATAAGGCGTGCAAAAGTTTACTCCATAATCTCAAGGAGTTAAGTTAAAAGTTGTTTGCCAAGAACAAGACAATATTTAATTTCGATTTTGATATTCAAAATATTCATTATCTAATATGGAGTTCGTAATATTCTGAAGTGAATAATAAAATGATGTATATCTTAAATGGGTGTCTAGAAACAAAAAAATTAAAGAAAAGAAAACAAAATTGAATTTTAATGAAACCTATCGCAATCTACTTGGTAATTCTAATAAATTTTCAATTACTTTTTCAGAACTTTAATTTTATTGTGCAAATGAGGAAGTAACGAAAGGAAAAAAATTCACTAATCCTAGATAGGTTTATACAACATGACAGTTACACTCCTTATTGATGATTTTGCCCATATATAGGCAAAAAGATAAGTGAAAACCCATAAGTGCCAAGAATGATTTGTGTACCTCCCTAAATAACATTCAGACAATATATCCGTCCAAATAACATAAAATTGAGGTTCAATATACCTGTTTAGTAACAGTGCTCAAAAATCTCGTTTAAATATTCAATAATTTTTTGGCACCAAAATGCCCTTTCGTTGCTCATTTCTAAGATAGAAAAACCAATATTTTTGCATTACATGGTACTAACATACAGGGTGATAATTTGAAAACTCACAATGGCTTTATCTGAGCAACCAAATAGAATATAAGAAATTGCTGGAAGAAACTTCCATAATAGAGGAAAACAAAATGATGCAATAAATAACTTGTTTTCATTTACCCCCTCGCCCCCAGTCGCCCCAACTTTATAGTTTTAAATGTCAACCCCCTACTTGTTATACCTTATCTAAAACCTCTTAAGAAATGCTCTTCAATGGTACCCTACAAAGCTTCATTAGATGTAGTAGCTTTTGGTTTATTAAATGAAACACCATTGTGAAATTAAAATTTTATTTTCTATTGTCAATTTCAAACTCTTGACGAACATTGGCAAATGTTTCTCTGGAAATAGCTCGGCATTCTTTGATAATTCTTTCCTTCAGTTGAGTCAAGTTGCGTCTTAAAAACAACAGAGTTTAGGTGGCCCCAGAGGAAGAAATCAAGAGGGGATAGGTCCGGGGATCTAGGAACCCATTCATTAGGACCTCTTCTTCCAATCCATTGATAAGCATAATTATTATCTAACCATTGTCTAACTGAAACTACATAATGAGGAGGTGCTCCAACCTGTTGAAAATTCAATGGATTTTCTTCTTAAGATCAATTCCCGTGTATGTCTCTCTGATTCTCTAATTCATGAACTATCGGAGGTTCGATAGATCTTTCTAGCATGTACAACTAAGAATTTCATCAAAATGCTAGATAGACTAGCCTTCCTCGTGACGGTAGCTATCATATTCAAAAATAATTCTTCCAATCCATCTGATAGTTCCAGAGATTAGCACATTCAACAAACAAACAAAAAATTCTTTGACATCATTATGTTAGTATAGAATACATTTTATTTATTCATAATGCACTTCTTAACAAGTGAAATGAATGAATCGAGATGACATCATTGAATTATGTATCCACAGGATGGCTTTACACCACTCGCTGTGGCAATGCAACAGGGTCACGATAAGGTAGTGGCAGTTTTATTAGAAAACGACACCCGCGGAAAAGTCCGACTACCCGCCTTACACATAGCTGCCAAAAAAGACGACGTGAAAGCTGCCACTCTCCTCCTCCAAAACGAACACAACCCTGACGTAACTTCGAAAAGCGGATTCACCCCTTTGCACATAGCAGCTCACTACGGAAACGACAAAGTTGCTTCGCTGCTATATGACAAAGGTGCTGACGTTAACTATACTGCGAAACATAATATAACTCCGCTTCATGTTGCTAGTAAATGGGGTAAGATAAATATGGTTACTTTACTGGTGGCCAAGGGTGCTGATATTCAAGCAAAAACTAGGGATGGCTTGACGCCACTACACTGTGCAGCAAGAAGCGGACATGACCAAGTGGTTGATATGTTATTGGAAAATGGGGCCCCCATGCATGCTAAAACAAAAGTGAGTATGAATTAAACACTATTAAAATACTTGTAACAAATACATCCTGACTACATCTCTGTCCATCAAGGTCCTTCTGCCCAGAAAAACACAGTTTGTATACACAGATAGTGTCCATATCATATCATTAATTAATATAAAATAGGGCACACGTATGGTCTAGTATGCCCAAAATGAGAACACAATATAAATGTATGCAAAGGTGATGTTCACAAAGAAAGAGTGAAGTATGTTTATTTATTTAATTATTTATTCATTGGGAAAACCCAATTTGCAACACTTTGCAAAATAAATGTAAAACATGGATTGACATTTGAAATTTGACACAGAAATAAATTAAGTTCTAAATTAACATCTTAAAAACCAACATTGTTCAAAAGCCCCTGATCTTATGTGTATTCATGTTATATGACAATGTATAATCGTACATATATCTTTATATAACATGATTCACATGATATAATAAAATATATAACAATAAAAGTAAACATAATTAATAGCAGCATTATAAATGCTTGACTTTTTGTTTTAACACGTTGTTTCTCAACGTGTCTTTTGATAATCAATTCGGTATCTTCGGAAGGTGAAAAACTAATTCCTTACAACAGAGTTTTTGCATTTTATATACATCTAGACAAACCAATACCTTAGTTAATGAGGGTCATTAAAGAATTCGTAGTATAATTTGTATTATGTTGATGACTATCTATTATGATAATAAATAATAAATTCATTCACCATATCAAACCTTCTTTCCTTCGTACCATGGACTACAAGAGCGGTAAATAAAATTGACGTTAATTTCTCCTGCATTCCAATTTCAGAGGCAACTGAATTCGAGGTGGAATATGGAAAAAGTAGTTTCTGTGAACGTTTTTCTGACGGAAAAATCAATTCAATTATATATTGTCACAAATATATAGTTTCGGTTATTGGGTTGTATTCTCAAACATTGACTAGTTTTATATTGTTTTCTATGTGTGTATTTTCTTATTTGTATCTCTTTATTGTTGTATTATGCTTTTCATTTATTTCATATATATTTTTTATTGTATTGAGTGAAACGGGTGTGGAACCCGTGACTAAATAAATAAATACGATTTCATAGAAAATTCACATTGGTAAATAAAAAAGGATGCACCAAAGTATAAATCCCTCTGCGTGGTTACAATATTCCGTTCTGTTGGAGTAGATAAATAGGTAGAAAATAAATTGAAGAGAATATTATTTTTGCAATTTAAAATCGTGGTAGAATGTATATACATATTCAATAGAAGTTCGAATACCAAAACAGGCTCTTTTTCTTCTTTTGTACATCTCTAGAAGACGCCAACTTGGTTGGTGACATGTGCATCGAGAAGATTATTGCATTTCTGGTGGTTGAGAAAGGTGCTTGTTCTGTATCTGTAAAGTAGGGAGGGTGAGTGTAGACCCACAGCACTTAGGCCACATGTGACCCATTGTACATCCTCCCGAAGAGTTGTCCTCCTAGGTCATCGTCCACTCTGTCCTTTTCAGAAAGGTGGACAGGTCACTAAAAGACATCTCCTTTATATCGGCAGGTAAAAGCCAAGACTCGCCAAACACACACTCTCTTTGGCAACCTTGAGGTGTCTCACGGCGGCCTTCGTGAGAGTTTTTGAAGGTGCGGCGGCATTACTGTCGTTGCGCGGCTTCTTCAACCTTCTTGGGATTCCCTCCGTGAAGGTGCTCAAGTAAAGGCGCTTTCCTGCAGGGGCAGCCGGTTCCTTGCCTTTATTCAAGGCGGAGCTCTTGGCGCCCGCCGCAGGAAGTGCCCTTGCTGTTGGAGGTGGAGTGGGGGAGGAGGAGGGTTCACTTCTGGTTGCTGTCACTCCTGCCTGTATCGCTCTCTTTCTCCTTTTGGCCTCGGCGCCGCAAATGCGCTTACGCCTTGGTCTTTGTATTATATCACGAGGGGATCTGCCATGTCCAGCCTCATTCCAAGTGGTAGATTGGGGTGGACATTTCTGTTCATCCCCAGCCACCGCCATAGATTGAGGTGAGCATTTCTGTCCAGCCTCGGGATTGGTTTTCGTTTTTTCTGTGTCTGTTTTTGTGTTTGTTTCATTCTTGTGTATTCGTTCGAGTAGCAGAGGGAGAGTTGATCACTCTGGCAGAGCCCCACATTACCAGAGGAAGGCTGATTACAATGAGGTTTCGCCCGTTTCCCCAAGGGGATCGTTCGTAACTGCATATCACCCTGCGGCCATCAGCTGTCGGCGCGATTCCTTACGCACCTTAGCTTGGGTAGGCTGGTCCACGGTGGCATGTTTCGCAGTAGCTTTTGGGGGGTTTTGGTTCCCTTCTCCCTACTTATTTCTGCCACTTACCAGGAGTTCGGCGACCCCGTCCGTAAGGCCACATTGGCTTCCCGGACAGGGCTCCCAGTCCCCTAGGCGTTTCCCTATTCGTCACCTGGGGACGCGCCCGATAGGTAGCCCAACCCACGAGAAAGGGGCTTGTTTTGTATTAAAGAGAAATAAATACACGGTTTCAATAAAATGTCTTCAATTGCTTCATTCATCATTCTGTAGTTTTTTTTTTTTGTTTTTTGATTGTAAATTGACCATATTAAAATCAAATAGTTTATTTGAAAAAAACACTGTTTAAATCATGAATAAGAAGTCGAGTATTTGTATTAAAAAATATATTTTCTTTATTTCTTGTATTATTAAACAAACATTTCAGAATGGTTTGGCTCCCTTACACATGGCAGCTCAAGGTGAACATGTCGATGCTGCAAGAATTCTTCTTTACCATGGCGCTCCAGTTGATGAAGTAACTGTTGACTATTTGACAGCACTTCACGTAGCTGCCCACTGTGGTCACGTGAGAGTTGCTAAGTTATTGTTAGATCGAGGAGCTGATCCCAATGCCAGGGCACTGAACGGATTCACGCCTTTGCACATAGCTTGTAAGAAGAATAGGTTGAAAATGGTCGAGTTACTTTTGAAGCATGGAGCCAGTGAGTATTTATTCATCAATGATAAGAGGTAGTTAGTTGAAATAATTTTGATTAATAGGTATTAGTGCAACTACGGAAAGTGGATTAACACCCCTACATGTTGCAAGCTTCATGGGATGTATGAACATTGTCATCTACCTTCTTCAACATGATGCTAGTCCAGATATACCAACGATTAGAGGGGAAACACCTTTACACTTGGCAGCACGAGCAAATCAGGTAAATACTTTTAAAGTCAATGTTCTACAAGTAATTTATCAATTCGGTATTTTGAAATACATTTGCTGTTGACGAAGGTTCATTCTCTTTTCCATTGTAAACATCTTGTTGAGTTATCATGAACTTTCAGAAAAATGCATAATTAGTAAGTGTTTTGTCATACTTATGACTGTTTTACTCAATAACACTTGGTAACATATGTGAATTGAATAATTTGAATGTAGATTTCCATTCAATCTCTTCAATATCTACTGGATCAAAACTGTAAAGTAGTTTGGATTCCCTGTGACTTATGACTTGCCTACGCAGATTTTATTTCAGATATTTTCTAATGCGACAGAAATTGAAACGCGTGGCTAATAAATTTCATTCATTTATTTCGCATCGTCTGACCATAAGAGAGCAGCACTTGGAGCATTTCACAAGAATACGCCTATTCAAGGTGTTTTCTTAAGCACTGAAGGTCACTGAAGGCTTATTCAATAATGGAATGCTTGACCTTTGCTTTCCTCATGTCAAGGGGGCTGAAGTTAGAAACTGAGGGATTCTCATCAGCTGAGATGATATCTTCAACAAATTCAATGTACCATAGTAACTTGATTAGGATTTCTGACGCTAGATGGAGCCTGATGAGGTCTCAGCCTAGATCTATTGACATAATACCACTCTAGGAGAGCTGTACTACCACTTTCTGCACTTCTGCACAGTATTGGCAAGACACTGTGAAAGTGACAAATTTATTGTAACTGTTAATTTTCCACAGATTGACCTCTTCGAATTTCCTCCATCAATTTATTTAAATTTTTCTGATTATTGAATTCCTTGATGAAAATTGTTCTACTTCTGAACTTTAAGATCATTTTGACTTACCACATCAATGGCCGGACAAATGCGGAAGGCTGATACTCTTGACTCATTTTGTCTGCTCAGGTCACATTATACTCGGACCCAATGATCACTTACTTCGTAGTATGGGGGGTGATTATTTGTTATTGATGCTGACACACTCTTCACAGTATTCAGGGAAAGCACCTAAATGGTGAAATCTTCAGGAAGAAGAAGGTTTTCTTCAAAATTTGGTAATTTACTTTGTTTAAATGAGAATGTAGAGTCCCATTTAATCTCTTCAATATCTCTTACTTCTTTCAACGTCTACTGATCCTCACTTCAGTTAAAATTGTGAGATGTTTCTGCTTTCAGCTCTGTAGTTGTGTATGGTGTATGGAAAGTAACTTATTTGATACATTTTTGTATAATCTGAAAATATATTTTGTCATTCAAAAAAAAATGATTATGATATGTATTACTGATAGGTTGGATACATTTTTTAACTTTTTTGAAACCATCTGACTCAAAGGGGGATTTGTTAGTTGTTATTCAATATAAAATACAATTGTGAATTATATCCTCTGAACCATCGTTTTTTCTATTTAAATGATACATTTCTCAATTATCTATGTTATATAATATATATTCCATATTTTTTCATAGACAGACATAATACGGATACTTCTCCGAAATGGTGCTACGGTCGATGCAAAAGCAAGAGAAGAACAGACTCCCTTACATGTCGCTTCAAGGCTTGGAAATGTTGACATTGTTATGCTGTTATTGCAACATGGTGCCCAGCCTCAGGCTACTACCAAAGATCTGTATACTCCTCTTCATATAGCAGCCAAGGAGGGACAAGAAGAAGTAAGAACTTATGAATTAATTAGATAATGCTGACGCTCACTTAAGTCTTTCGGGAAAAATCAAAATGTTTCAACAAACATATTAATCAGATATATATTGATGGATTAAATCAGTACTTGACTACATATTTATTAAGTAAGTCATTTGATATTTCAATGCAATGACAGGCACAGGAAATTTTCTCTCCAAATGGGGAAAATAATATAATTCTTATATTGTAGTAATGGATTTTTATAAAGTCAAAATCAACTCCTTCTTCGTAAAATAGGATAGACTTTTCAACCTTAGTGTAGATGATGGTAATTTTTTTTTACGACAATGCAGTATTACGTGAGAGACACTTGGAAGAAGTTGTCATGTATGGAGCATCTCCTGATGATAAAACACCAAATGTTGACCGAAATACATAAATGTTGCTTCTGCGTGGCATTACTTGACTTCAAATCTTAAAAAAATTAACATAATTGAAGTTGTATACAATGAAAAATTCATTCTTGATATAATAAAAAAAAACAATGATTACGTATTAATGTATTTAATCACCTTATCAAATGATGATGTTTTTCATTATTTGAAAATGAAAAACAATAATGTGAGTTTATGAATTGATCTAAGAATCTTACACTCGTGTGAATTATTCATGTAACACAATCCAGATTCAACTTTGTTTTCACCAAGACTTGTTTGGACTAAGTGATCTGACTATGTATATGTTGCCACTTATGAGTAGCACTGTTTAATTTTCCTCAAATTAAACACATTCAAAATAAAAATTTGTTTTTGTTATAAACAACTGAGTTGTTGCTGAGACATTTAGTGCACCAGTTTTCAGGAAACCTTGTTTCATATCCACCCAGTTTCTCGGTATTTAATCGTTATCAAAAATTCTGATTAGTAGCAGTTAGGGAGTGGCTTAAAAAACTCACAACTCAAAAATGGACTATATGCACATCAAATGTATGTACCAGTTATTACTATTGATAAATACAGAGTAGCCAACTTAGAGAAAAAATGATATGTACTCTATATGTACTCCTTGTCTGATATGGTCCATTGGTCAGAGAGATCTATATTGATAAATACAGAGTAGCCAACTTAGAAAAAAAATTATATGTACTCCTTATCCGACCCAAAATTTGTAACATATATTTTTTATGACTATGTAAAAATATCCAAAGGGGCTGAAGAGTAAAGAATCATACTATTTGGGTGATTGAAATGTTAACCAGACGCGAAACCATTTCACAATTATTTTAATTTCAGGTAGCTTCTGTTCTTCTGGACAATGGTGCTGATTTGACAGCCACCACCAAAAAAGGTTTCACTCCTCTCCATCTCGCAGCTAAGTATGGACACCTCAATGTGGCAAGGCTTCTGTTGCAAAGAGATGCTCCCGCTGATGCCCAAGGCAAAAATGGCGTTACTCCTCTACATGTTGCTGCTCACTATGACCACCAACCTGTTGCACTCCTGTTACTAGATAAAGGTGCTTCTCCCCATGCCACTGCCAAGAACGGGCACACACCTTTGCACATAGCTGCTAGGAAGAATCAGGTAATTTTTAAGTGGTTATTGTATCATTTTGAGTAGACACCTTCTCAGTATAACAAATATTCATCTCGGAGACATTAAATTAATATGAATTAGATGTACCAATGAAAAAACAAACTTGTTTATTTCATGGAGTTGGATTGAAGAGAAAAACGTATCAATATATGTAATAAAAATAGTAATAGTTAAGGAAAACATTATTTGGATACATTTAAAACATAATTGGACCAAGCACTGAATGCTGTGATACATCAATATCTACATAGTTAATAACAGATATTCAAATACTATATATTGGTATTGGCACAAACACGATAACCCTTCAGTTTGTCTAAGAGTGATTTGCTATGCTCAGGTCTCAAAAAATCGTTGCAGGACACTCAACTGTCTCAAAATACTTGATATTTTTTTCATAGAATTCACGAAGAGCGGTGTTAGTTGACTTTGCAACCTGAAAACCAAGCTGCTACTTAATGGGAGTAAAATATTTGTCAATAAAATCGATCAGACGTATGCATATTCAAAAATTTTGTGTAAAAGTCATTTCAACAAGAATAGGGGGCATCATCCTCACCAGATATATATTTAATTTTCAATTTTACAAAGACATTAATTTCTGTTTTGTATAGGGTCACAAGAAAAAAGTACTGTTATTACTTTCAGTTTTATTTTTACATGGATTATAATCACATTTATTCAGCATCTGAATGCTGAATATTAGTTTTTATGATACAACCATAAAATAATTAGTGAATAAATGAGAAGTAACTTTAAGATTGCTCACTTCATTACCATCAACATTCAAAGTTATATTCTCTTGTTTTTTACTATTATCAACTATTTATTACTATACTTACATACCAAATAAATGGGAGTAAAGTAAACAACAACCTAACATATTTCCCTCAGGTCAGTTGAAAAAATTTAAATAATGATATTTTTTAATGTTGTTTCATAAGAATATCTTTTTTCGAATATTCAAACAATTTTCTAACTGACTAACCTACAAATCATGATGAATGATCATTATAATTCATTACAATTTCTTCAAGCATGGTATCCTTATGACTACAACATCAAGCATTTACTTAATATCTTGTTTTTAGTAAACTGTAGTGAATATTCTTGTACCCCGGCTACTACCATTATACATTTTTTGATTTCATTTCATTTCCACAAAGGATTTTTTTCTCCAATTTCATTTCCTTCAGATGGACATAGCGACAACCCTTCTGGAATATGGCGCTCAGGCAGATGCTGAATCGAAGGCAGGATTCACTCCTTTACACTTGAGTTCACAAGAAGGTCACTCTGATATGTCTTCCTTATTATTGGAACACCAAGCCAACCCCAATCATGCTGCCAAGGTAAGCCCCTGGCTTTGCGATACTAAGGTTCTCATTTTAGATTTCATTCTGACATTTTTATGTTTCAGAACGGTCTTACACCCCTCCATCTATGTGCTCAAGAAGACAGAGTACCTGTAGCTCAATTACTCTTAAGGGCAGGTGCCCAAAAAGATGCACAAACTAAACAGGGCTATACCCCGCTGCACGTTGCGTGCCATCACGGCCACGTCAACATGGTGCGACTTCTCATCGAACAGGGTGCTGAAGTGAATACCGTAACTACTGCTGGATATACACCTTTACATCAAGCAGCTCAACAAGGGCATGTTCTTGTTATAAGTTTGTTACTGAAAAATAAGGCTGACCCTAATGCTGTTACAAATGCAAGTATTCAACTCTTTGAGAATATTTTGATTACACTGAATCGTTTCTTAATGAAAATTAATTAAATCAATCCATTCAAGATGAAAAAAATGTAAGAACGCCAATTTGTAAAGCAAACAAATTATGACCTGAAGTGAAAAGGAATTGATAAATGGGTTAACCAGCTGTCGCACCCTTACGAACGATAACCCTCAGAAGTCGAAACTTGTGCGAGCTAAGGATTAACGAAGTCTTACCTTTTAACGTGTGATTCCAAATATATACAAACTACAAAAATGTAATAAAAAAAATTAAATAATTGAGATAAATTGTGAAAAATGCAGTAAATGAAAAACAAGATAAAAATAAAAAAATATTTCAAATTGAGTTGGACACTTTCCCTTCTCACCATTTCCCCCTCTTTTTTCTCTGTTTCCAGGCCGCGTATTGGAGATTTCCACTTGATTTGTTGTTTCCATAAGTCTCCACACTAGCATGCATGTATAATTGCTCAAAATGTACGTAGCTTCTTTAAACTCTCTCTCAAACCAGTATTCCTTCCTGTGAGTGATTTCAGCTTCGAATAATTTGATGTTATGTTGGTAGGTCCAAACGTGCTCTGATTTTCCCGATTTGCTGGTTTCTCCCCATTGAGTATTTTCGCCATTGTGGACTTTCAAAGACATCTTGGTTTCACTGATATTACTGTACTTGAAGGTATTCACCTAATGTAATTATTGGAGTCGCCGTTTACGTTTGATAGCTTGGTATGGATGGTGTTTCCAGATTCAAATAAGATAATAATGAGCTAAGACACAATTATCCTTATCCTCTCCGACAATCCTCTTCCTTGAGGGGCTGTTGTTGTCTTCTAGCCAAAGTATGTTCTAACAGCTTTTCTTAGTAACCATTCTGCTGTAGATCTCTGCTGATGTGGCCTAGGTTGCCGAGTGCAGCTAGTCCTATATTTGTGAATACTCAGTGATGACAAACTAGCTTTACACGGCAGTGTCGATTTGACAGATGTCAGCCTTTTCTGTTAGAACAATATGAACCTCCACATTCAAACAAGCCAGTTCTCGTGGCTTCAGGGGTTTAATTCTGTGGAGCGCCCTGCGTGTTCTGATTGTCCCCATTGGTGGCATGGTGCGTGTCTCCTCTCCAGCTGTGCCAACGGGTGGTAGAACTATCACTTCTACCACTTCATTAGCAGGCTGCGAGGGAGGTATATAACCCTGCCGAAGATAGGATATGTAATCCCTAAGATTTTGGGCGGAAAAGGCGACATGCTCCGGATGTGTTTCACACCACAGAGCATGCATTCTCGCCATATACCCTCTTCGCGCGGGCTCACTACTCTCGTAGCAATGCATAAGGCTATCTCTTAGCTCATGCGTCCACTCAAAGTGCCCGTTGTCATTGCCAGGGTTGTCATCGGTAGGCAAATCATCGTTATGGGTCCCACCACCTCACCTCTGACCCCTCCGAGCGGGTCGATTGTGGGGGCCCCTTCCTTGATTACCAGGAACCAAGTTTTAGGTTTACCGGGTGGTTAGCCCTGTGGACCCTCGGCCGGCACCGGAGGGAGAATAGTGTTCACCTGGTGCAATTCTGAGTCAGATACTCGTACAAGGATTAAAATAGTCAGTAATCCTATTCAAGTCATCGAGTATTATTCAAATGCATCCTGTGCTAATAATTATGATGCACTGTTTGGAACCTTTGGTGTAGTAATGAATATTACTGGAGTTTTTTCCCAACACCAAATCGTTATTTTTAACACCTCGACACGTGTTTCGATCACCAAGTGATCATCTTCAAAGAGGAAGATGATCTGTTTTCAAGAATGACGTACTTTCCATGAGCTTGTTTTGTTTTTGTTTATGTGCTTCCAAAACCTGTTGAAGTGAGATGTAATGTACAACTCATGAAATTGTTGACTAATCTTGCAATATTAATATTATCAATAAATTATACCTTTCCAGTTGATATACCATTAATGTTCTAAGTTTCAAGTCTCTAGCTCATTAAGAGGTTAGTTTGAAATCAATTTAAAATTTGTAGAGAATATACACAATCAAACAGACAAACAAGAAAAAGAGTAAAAAAAACCATAGTCAAAATAGGAACCCTGCCAATTTTATGAAATATAAACTATCTCAAAGCTATTGTTTCAGAATGGACAAACAGCTTTGGGCATTGCCAACAAACTTGGTTATATAAGTGTTGTGGAAGAACTTAAAGTTGTTACAGAAACTAACATAACAACAACCACAACAGTCAACATTGAAGAAAAATATAAAGTTGTTGCCCCTGAAGCCATGCAAGAAACTTTCATGTCTGATTCCGAAGATGAAGGAGGTTGGTATTATTTTGTTTTTATAATATATATTTAGATGGGAGTTGTATCGTTGTCTGTGTTGCTTTTAGATAAAAATTTAACAAGTAAATAAGTAACTTTGCGTTGACTTTTGTTTGTTTTTGTTTACTTACAATGTTAACGGTAATCTTCCTACCTGTAATGTATTTAATGGATCTTTGCCAGAAATAAGTAGTAAATTCAGTTGAGTCAGTGATATACTTATACTAAACAAAAACAGCACTGAATACGGATTTTTGATTTATGTGTAACTGGTGATTGGTTGAATAAATTGATACTTGAGGTTGCCATTTCACAATTTCCATGTCCGTGAGACTGCAGTGTTTTTTGGAGAATTGGAAGCATTGGACTGGTCAGTCAGCTTCCAAATAGCAGAAACAAAAACTCGGGCATTGCTTCTTATCTTCAATCTCATACCATACCTCAATATGTCTCCCTCTTTCTCTTCCATTAGAGAAAATTTACGTAAAAACATAACACCATCTTCAAAAATTCTGGGGAAAGGAAAATTTTTTTTACATTGAAGGAAATTAAGGAAAGAAAATCAGAAAAAGACGATGCAACATTTCTCCGTTTTGGTCAATATGTTGAAAAAAAGTGCATTAAAAGAAATGGAAGAAGTGGCTATCCATGAGTTTTAATGTCTAAAAAGTCAGTTCCGTTGGCCATTGCATCTTTTTTGCCAAAGTAAAAAAGGGGGGCAGTGAATTCATTCGTATTCTGAAATTGCAAAAAATGTTTCTAACCTCATTTCATTTCTCATTCTTTTTTATTTCCCCTTCTTTCTTTCTTTTTAACCTTATTGTACCCCAAAAAACGTAATTGCAAGAAGGGGATTTTGAACTGTATCGTATCAAGGTTATGATCAGCCTAGGATTTTATTTTTTGATAAGTCTGTAACTGACAAATCTCTTATAGTCCGTTTGCCGAACAGATAGAGTAGTCACGCGAACTTTGCTTTCCATAAAGTCAACGTCCAAAACTGAATATGTACAGTAATGTCTCCGGGAAGTTTAACTATACTCAGAAATGGTCACACCATCATCTGTTTTTATTTTGAAAAGAATGGAACCGTCGATCAATAATAATGGACACACATGCACATGCAGCTCACGCTATTCTAAAATTCTGTTTATTTGGTAAAGAGACTATAAGCTCACCATTATGGCTCATACAATGGTGTTGTTTAATAAAAATATTAGTGTTATTCTATGTACACCGCATTCAACAGATTTGAACCATATCATAGTTTGAATTTTGGAGTGCATAATCAAAAATCCGCAAAATATTTTACTTTTGATTTGATTCCGTTTGCATTTTCTATTTATTTTGCACAATAATGAAGTGAGATAACAATGCTAGTTTGAAACTATTTATAGTTTCAGTTTGTTAAAATGATGGATTTTCCCAGATTGAATGAAATTTAATATTTATACTGGTAGATAAGAATAAAGTGATTGTGGTTTTTATGGTTTGTTGTAAACACAAATCAGTGAAATATTTTAAGATAGTAATTCATTCAGTTGTGTTGCTTTACTTGTTTCATTCAGATTACTCACCTGTAAGTAAGAAGGCGTCATAATTTTAATATTCTTAAACTTGATAATACTCTTTTATTTTTGAATTTATTATTTAACAAGTATAATTGTTTCACTAGAATTATATAAAAACCAATAAGCCAGTGGTTTTCATTCTCGTAACAAAAAGTTCCTGATTGTTAGCTAAATTCAAATTGGAAATCGTGATTTTGTTTGGAATTCGTACTTTTTTGTATTCTATAAAGTGAAATAAATACTTTATTGATATTTTGAGGGACAGAAGTATATCTTTTACTACCTAGAGAATAAATAACACTAGAAATGTAAATTTGCTAACCTTGTGGTTAAAATGTGTACTTACAATATAGAATACACTTTAGAATTTAAAAGTCTCCCCGTTTATTACATATGGAAAATAACCATCTGTAATATAAAAGCCTAAAAATATACTAAAAACTGGACAATGTACAACATTAAACTATCAAATGATAGTGATACATCATCAAATTGCAGAATTTGAACTTCGACTCAAAAAATGGCGTTTGAGCCGCTAAGGGTGGTGGTTGGTTGCATGCAGGCGGAGTGGACGAGCCTCCTGTTACTTATGGTCGACCAACGCATGCACAGCACGTCTATCTACCCTTCTACCAGGGACACATGACCTATACACGTAAGTCCCGTATCTGTCGTTTTTCGTCTTCCCTAATATCTTGTACGGTAGGTAGCTTCTTTTTGCTTGTCTCCTAACCTGTGTTATATTTGTAGAAACATTATTTTTATCTACACAATTTTGATGAATGATGTTATGTTTTTATTATTTATTTTTTGGTACCAAAGTTTCAGGTATTATTTATCATCAAGACTAAGGCAAATTGAAAATTCAAAAACCCAAACTTTTTATAAAGTATGCAAATTTTTATGTAGAAGACCAAAAATATAAATGTGGATATTAGATTCAAATACAATTCACAATTTTTCACCAAACATGAGCAAATAAAACATTTTTCGTCTTTTTTGTGACCTTGAAAACATTTTTGTAGAAGAATCAGGCACCGAACTACTATGAATATGTGATCTTTTTTAGTTTTGATGAACTAAAAAAAAGGAGAATAAGGGTGTAGTTGAAGAACGAAGAAGATATATGTGGTGGAATCTGCCGATACTTGACAAAAACAATTTATTGTGAGATTTTCACTAAACAGTTTTACAAACTCTACATATTCAATGATTTATATATGTTTTTACAATTTGAAGTACCCGAGTTTCATCTACCCAATTAATGTTAAAAATGTGTATAGTCAAAGTAAACGATATTGTGTACACTTAAAGTTGGGGTCACTCTCAAATGCCAAAATAACCAATACATAAAATTGAACCGGCTGCGAACTAGTCCACGTGGACTGAAGAATTGGCGGTTCGTATTGGATAATTTTTACTAACCGAGTTTTATGATTGGCTGAAGAGTCATAAAATTAAATGTGAACTCATGTTACGGTGACGAATTGAATGCGGGGATGGTTATCGCCGTCATATAGTCAATGTTCAGTACAGAAACTGATCGCTATTTGAGTGTTGAAATTCGATATTGGTGTAGATATATTTCTTAAAATTTTTGTTATCTGTTAAAATGTGACGTCCTTGGACAAGTACTAATAGTAATAACGAGTTGATAACAACGCAGACTTTTTCCAGTGTAGTGATTCCAATAGCAATGGTGAACAATGCGAAAAAGAGATACTAATGAATAAGATTGGGATGCATTTTAATATTGAAACACAAAGAGTATGTTTCAATGTATGTAAGAATTTACGCAAGACGCGATATGATACAGGATTACCAAAACCTTTAGATGTTCATCTAATAATATCATTGAAAAAACAATATACGACTGTAACAAAAGCAATGAGATACCTACAACTGAAATCATAAGGAAGAAATTGAATACTTCCGGCTATAACGTGTGCTGCTGTGACAAAACTCTCAGAATTGTATAAAAGAATTAGGATTTAGATTTAAAATAATAAACAAACGTCAATCAGTTATGGAAAGCAGAAGAATAGTGGGATTGCGTAACAAATACGTAGAACAAATAACTAAATATAGACGAGAAAAACGGCAAATTTTCTATTTGGACGAAACTTGGTATGACACGGCACAGTTACGAAAGGGTGGACTGATAGTGCGAGAATGTGTACGCCTAACATGCCTGCAAACAAAGGATCGCGACTAATCATTGTGCATTGCGGAGGAAGTAAAGAATGGTCTGTAAAGCATACCATTGAATGCAGCTGCTTTTTGCTGGTAGGGATGCGTTGAAGAATATGTATGGCATTGTCTGTATAAGGATGGTTTGTGGAAAATTGCAAAATCATGTTCATTATTAACTTTCATAATAGTCAACATAAGTCTTGTGGAAATTTGCAAAAAGCGTGTTCATCATTAATTTTCGTAATAGTCAAGTCAAGACTTGATGCTGAACTCACTGAATGTAAAAATAGATTAGATATTCTCTACGTATGTAGCACGGCGGATCAAACTTACAAAGAAAAATATAATCAAGTAAGAAAAGAATACAACAGCAAATTGAAAAAAATAGGGCGAAAAATTATAAAACAAAAGTAGTACAATCAGATAATAAATCTAAAGCGGTATGGGAAGTTGTGAGATATATTAAGGGAAATGAACAAATGAGGCAAGAAGGTATTCTGTTGGACAAAGATGCAAAATCTGAAGCCAAAGACTATAATAACTTCTGGATAAGTGCAGTCTCCAACTTATTGAAGCAACAACAGAATGAAAAGTTTTCACACAAAATAAAATCAAATGACAAATCAATACTGCTAACACCAACAACTGCAAATGAAATTTTAGAAATTGTTAAAAAAATTAAAAGCAAGATAGTGGACATGATGAAGTCCCCAATAAAATTATTAAATTATGTATAGAAGAAATGATAGATCCGGTTGTATATATTCTGAACAATTTCCTAAAATACGGAGTTTTTCCTGACTCACTCAAGCTATCATTAGTCAAACCCATATTGAAAAAGAGGGATCCCTCTAAACTAGAAAACTTTAGACCAATTAGTCTACTGTCTTCATTTTCAAAAATGTTTGAAGCTGTATTATGCAAACGGGTGATGGATTTCTTCAGGCAGTGTAATCTTATCAGTAAGTGGCAACATGGATATCAGAAAGGAAAATCAACACATACAGCAATTTTTCAGTTCATTCAAAATATCTTGTTACAACTTGAGAACAATAATTTGGCATTGGAATTATTTCTATATCTGTATAGAACCTTATACTATTGCTGAATACCTCAGCCATACTGTCTGACATAATCTATCTTATTGGTGAAGTTATTTCTGTTTTTGTATCTTTTTGCGATTATTTTTATTATTATTATTAGGACTTGAACGTCAGCTCCTTCAAATTATAAAAATATATATGAAGCATTGAATATGTAGTTGGTATAGACAAGCCTGAAGAAGCTATTGTATAGCGAAACATGTGTTGCGTTTTTGTAAAACTGTTTGGTGAAAGTCTCAAAATAAAGCATTTCCTAAATAAATATGATATGTTGTTTATGAGAACAAAAGATACTATTCAGTGTATGCAATTTTTTTTTGTTAAAACAAACCCTTTTGTATAATAAGTGATACCTAATAAAATTGCAGTCAAAGACACGCCAAAAAGTAATTTAGTAAGTAAAAGGGGCAAAATTGAGTTGCGAAACAAAAGCAAAGTACTAAGAATAGAATTTTGTATAAATATGTTCCTAAAATGCTTAAAACGGATTAACAACTGTAGATCTTGCATTCATCAAAATATTACTTGGTTATAAATGCTTCTCAGTGTTTATATTTACATACCATAAAAATTACAAGGTTGTGAAATTGTTGACCTTTCAATTGTATGTTCAGTAACTGGTTTGAATGAGCATCAATTTCGGTACCAGAAAATATAATTTTGTTATATTTACAAAGTTTATTACCAGAAGTAGAATATATTTTCCAGTTGAGGATTTGTTGGTTTACAAGTTTCTTCAAATAAATACCTCGTTTAATGTCAGAAAGCTCATTTCATTCAAGAATGTACAGATTTCATAATTGCACGCATATTTTCTTTGCACGTTACCGAAAATAGTACCATATATAAACAATTGGTTCACTTTTATAATTATGTTTTACTCTTGTTGAACTACTGACGCAGCACGTACCAATTTTCTTTATCAAGTTTTTATCACTTTATTTACATTGGATGATTATTGAAGTATTTTTATCAGTTCGTTAATACCTTATCAGGTTACAATCATTATCAAGTGTTTTTTCTCAAACTTACATAAGCATTTCTCCGCCAAAAATAACGATATAAAGATTCAATTGTATTTGTCTAGGAGAAGATCCGATGTTGGGAGATCAGCAACAGTACAAATATATGACCGTAGACGATATGAAGTCTCTTGGTGACGATTCAATGCGACTAGATGTGACGAATGATGAGAAAAGTGAATACAATAGAAATTCCATTGGTAAGTGAAAGTAATGTTGACCTGATTTCGAAGTAACTTGTTTCGAAAGTGATTTTCCAAAAAATGTACTTATCACTGGGGAACAAAAAGGTATATAATTTCGGAAAAGTGTAAAATATTTTATATATAACTCACCTGTAATATACGATGCCCTAGTAAAATCAAGAAAACAATACATCTTTATCAGCTGGGGTGATAAAGCCAACCAGAGAATTTTGAAAAGAATCTTTAAAAAAGATAAATTTACTACAAATCTTCAGTGGAAAAAATCAACCACAGTTATCAAACAAGATACAACGAACAGGCTCAAATAATTCATCAAAATAGGAAAGTGATAACTAAAAAATATACTTGCCTGTCATCAAAATTGTTAGACCACTCTTCGATATGTATAAGACTAACCTCAAAGAGATCAACTCACTAATTATGATTAAAAAATATTAAAAAACTACATAATTTAGCTTGGAAGAGATACCAAATAATTGAATAATAATAATTTTGAATGCTGCTAAGTATACAACTGTAAAACCATTGTAATCGTGACAAATGCTAATCAACTATTAATGCAAACTGCCTTTGTATTTATTCAAGAGAGGAGTCACTTTTCTGTGCCAATTGCACAAAGGCACTGAAACAAACTCCATTACATACATTATAACAGCCCTAGATAATGAATTACAAATAAGTGGACTATTCATGAATATTTCCAGAACTTTTGATTGCACAAATCATAATTTTCTCTGAATTGAAAGGGGTATATTTTTAGGAGAGATTAATTTTTGGTAAAGAACGGTTTTGGAGTTCTACTTTTCCCCCTTTCAATTCAAACAAGATTCCTATGGCTGGGATTAAATCAAATAAGCGAATGAATGTCATTACGTACTGTTATCGATGACATGAGTAGATATAACATATTTATTCAAGAGAGGAGTCACTTTTCTGTGCCAATTGCACAAAGGCACTGAAACAAACTCCATTACACACATTATAACAGCCCTAGATAATGAATTACAAATAAGTGGACTATTCATGAATATTTCCAGAACTTTTGATTGTGCAAATCATAATTTTCTCTGAATTGAAAGGGGTATATTTTTAGGAGAGATTAATTTTTGGTAAAGAACGGTTTTGGATTTCTACTTTTCCCCCTTTCAATTCAAACAAGATTCCTATGGCTGGAATTAAATAAAATAAGCGAATGAATGTCATTACGTACTGTTATCGATGACATGAGTAGATATAACTCATTCGTAACATAATGTCATAATTTTATGAATAGCTTGAGTTCTTTATCTTGTGATGTTATCCAGATTGGTGCTTCATCCAGATTGGTACTGAAGAGTCACTAAGACAGGTGTCTTATCCCGAATCATCGATGTCCGCCATTGGGGATGACAGTGTTCCATATGACATTTTACCGCTAGAGCTATGGATTTGTTGGTGTTTTGGACCAAACTGAACTCATTACCAAAAGAGTTCGTTATATTTAGGACCGAAACTATTGAACAATAACAAATGCATCAAATCTTGCCACATTCAGATCTAGGCTGAAAGAGTTTTTCATTGAAAAAAATTGCTACAATATTTATTAGTTTCAAACTTAATTTTAATGCGTTTTCACTTATAATTGTAATATGTTATATAATAATTCAGTTATATGACCGCCTTCTTTGTTATTGTACAACCTATGAGAAAACTTGTACAGATGTCTATCCGTCGAATTAGCCAGGAAAGTAGTTGTTTTCCAAGAACTGAATCCTGAAGAGATGAATCCTTTGAATTCCTATTCGAAATTTTTATTTTCTTGGCATATGTATCTCTCCTCAATACAATCATCAGACTAATTTCATTTCTGTTAAAATGAAGTTGCTTTTTCATATTTATTTCATTTATAAAATACATTTTCATGTGTAGTTCCCTGAATTGAATATTTTCTGTCATGAGAACTAAAAAATGGGTATTGTTACTTTCAGCTCCATCCAACATCAGCAATGAGCTCATTATAACTCCTCACCATGTGAAAGAATATTATTCTACAAATGCTTATTCATCTCCAGATAATGTAGATATCAACCGTCAACCAATCACGGCTGGGTAAGTGTGATTTGTCAGTGTAACTAGAATCTTTTCTGTTGAGTTGCTTCACCTACACCCAGACAGTAATTTTCCGTAATATTTGGTCTAGATTTCTTTTCAGAAAAATGCTTTATTATGTTTTTATGTGTGTGAAGTCTGATAACAAATATTATTTCGCAAATTCAAGTACAAACATTGAAATTACTCAATAAAGTGTGAGATAAATGTTGTAAATAGGATGGATAAACATAGTGGGTTTGCTTTTTTTGTAACCTACTTGTTCTATGATTGTTGACTCATAGAGAACATGTACCTCGAAATCAATATGGTGGTAAATGAGTATCTCAGAAGAACGTGCAATACGGGAAGTAAATGCCAAAAAAAGTAACTTTTGTCATTTTCAACTGCACATTCAGACCTTATTAAAGATAGGTTATGCAGATTTGTTTGATTAGACCTACAATATGAAGAATGCTATTTTTCCAGCTTCTGAATTTTTTATTCAAATATTTGATAGAAAGAAGCAATTATTTTGTAAGAATACTAAATGAATATTTCAATAAGTAGTTTAGATTCAGATAATGATTTGAAAAAAAATTATATTCATATTTCTGGATAACTGCAGAAATATTTCAAATATGGGACACAGTATATTCCGAACCAAAGGAATTACCTACGATATCTTATTACATATTTGATAGTGATGACACTGTTACTTGAAATGATCAGGTGAACTATTTTTTTCTTATCTTTATGATTGTGCAGTACAGACAAACTCTAAGATAGTTTGATGTTATGAAAGATTATTAAAGAAATTCGTTTTAAAACTATGCTTTCCAAAGGCAGGACATCAGTAATGTTTTTTTTTCTTCACTGGTTTGAACGAAAACTTTGTGTGGAAAAATTATGAGATCTGCCTTATTATTACAATTTCTGGAATAAACACAAATGCACTGGTTTCCACAGAAACCAGACGTACGTTTATGAATAATAATAGAATATAATGCAGGCAGCTGTAGCTGCCTCATTGGTTGTACAACTCGTTTTCTCCTAAACAAGAGGGGCAAGAAAATATTGCCTATCATTGTACTTGATGATAACACTGCATCAATGAGAGTCTCTCAATCAGCAATACGTGCTACGTCTGTGAATTTTTTCTTTGTTGATATCTAGTACTATTCAAATTCGAGTCTGCATGAGAATCTCGTAAACAGTAAGTGAATCAATTAAATTGCGAGACAAAGTTTCCTAGTTTAGAGTATAATTTATTGATTCCAAAAATCGGAAATTTTGAACTTTTATTTTTGACTATACATTCTTAATTCCCAGAAATAATAATACTTCATTTCCTTCAAAGACAATTGCATAGGTAACTTCACAATCTTCGAAATTTTAAAAAGACACATTTACATTTACACACATTATACAAAGAAGAAGAGTATATAATGTACATTATCAGTGAAGTACTAAATAAAAAGTTTCATGACAGAGAAGACTTGTTTTTTTTGAAAATATGATTATTAGAACTATTTAATATGTCTACACTCAGTAAATTCGGCGATTTATTTAATCATTAAATTATTTTCAGCATGTGTTATATATTACTTACCATAATAATAATCTTTATGAATCCCATCATTTGGCTTGATGATTGAGAGTAAGAATAAGTTCAAATTGTGATTTTTTTTTTCGAAAACAGAGAGATTTTTCCATAATATAAATGATCAATAATCTCACTATTTAACATTCATAGATGTAATTATCGAAATTCATATTATCTTTTACTTATTAAAAATATTTTAAACTATCAACAAATGAATTATCGATAGGAATGAGAGAACAAATGTTATTTGAGAATTAGTGAAGTGAATAATTTTGTTTTCACGAAATTTTGAAGGAATCATTGAACTGATTCATCATGATTGTTGTCTTCGTTGATTACTCATCCCGTATAATTAATTTTCAGGTTTTTCATTAATGAAAAATGGCAACTGCGTCTCTTTGTGTAGAAATGTTTTAAAAAATCTCTAAGTATTTGAGCATTGGAATATTCTGTATATTACTTCCTTTTGTTTAACAATGTGTATCCCTTTTAGCCTGACATGTGAATGAAAAAACTGTCTTTCATATTTTTTATATCTATCAACTCCCCCTGCTATAACTTACCTGTGTTAAGTAGTTAGTGTGTATGTATTTAAGCTTATGCAGAGGAGCTTGGACAAGACTAGAATACTCATTGATTCAATTGGGCCCGAAAACCCATGGAACTGGTCTGTGCAGAGAAAGGTACTTGTTAAATGGTACCATTTGAGTACCAAAGACATATGCACTGAATGATGCACTGAATTAACATGTGTGACGTATATCTCCACCGTACTTTGCTGAGTTTTAATTGTGACAAATTTGTGATTGTCCTCATTTTGTTCATTGAATGGTGGTGTAACATGCAACATGCACTCAAGTAGTAAATATGTATATAGATCTTTGTTTTAATATACACCTGGTGAATTGAGGCACTGAAATTTGGTATATACATAGTTGTAAATGAACTGTTTTTGTTTATTTTGAAATTTGTATTTAAATTGGAAAGGTATATTTTTAGGAGAGAATAATTTTTGGGAAAGAAAGTTTTTGGCTTTCTACCACTCCCTCTTGACACAAAAAAAATGTGGGAATCTTCAAAATAAAGGAAGGAATCAATTTCAAAAAATTAACTCAATACAAAAATGTGTAGATCATACAAAGAAGTAACTTTCAGACACAAACTGGAAGAAAAACCCCTCTTGAAACATCTATTTCCATATAAACATTGAATTATACAAAAGTAAAATACTTACGAAACAAACACTTTTATATGAAAGCTGAATTATATGAAAAACACTTTTCTCTATTCCGTTTGTATTCCAAACATTCGTATGGAATCAAATCAGATATCATTCACGAAATAATTAATGAAAGAAGTAAAATTTCACTCACATGGAAGACTGTCATCCTCACTGCTAGACGAATTGAGTGTTTTTTCTAATAGTGTTATCCGTATTTGCTACTGAAGAGCCGATAAAGCAAGTGTGTTATGGCAAAACATTGAATGTCTAGCAGTGAGGATGACAGTGATCCGTGTAAGTGAAATTGTACTTCTTTCATTAATTATATTGTATAGAAATCTTGTGAATGATATCTGATTTGATTTCATACTAATGTTTGGAATACAAACGGAATAGAGAAAAGTGTTTTTCATATAATTCAGCGTTCATATAAAAGTATTTGTTTCGAAAGTAATTTTCTTTCGTGTAATTCAATGTTTTTTTGGAAATAGCTGTTTCATTTGTGTCTGAAAGTTACTTCTTTGCATGATCTACACATCTTTGTATAGAGTTAATTTTTTTTAATTGATTCATTTCTTTCTTTGGAAAATTCCCACATTTTTTTATCAAGATGTAGAAGGCCAAAAACTTTCTTTCCCAAATTATTATAATATTTGTCCAGTCTTAGTACCATCTGTTAAAATATATATGACATAGTACTGCCTAGAAGGAAACACCAAGAATATTGAACAATAAAAAACTGATGTTTGGTTAGATGCCAGTCAAAGAGAGATTATTATTCTTTTTATTTTCATTCGACTATATTAAGATTATAATTTGAAATGCTTATCAGTGAAACCTGACAATAGAAATAAGTCAAGAATCTGACAGAGAACAGAACTATAACTTCCTACTATAGATTATTATACAACCAAACTATATTAGGTCCATAATATGATATTTATTATAGTTGATATTTTTTTCCTCAAATTGAGTTCACTAAGCTTGAGGTTTACTCAGCCAAAATGTAATTTTTGCTATGAAAATTAATATAATTTTTTGTTTTGCTGTTTGTGTTGCCAACAGTATACCAAATTGGAAGAAGTAAGTTGTATGTACAGTGTAACATAGTGTAGATTGCTTAATACAATTAGTCTGGGCCAAAATTTTTATTAACAAATTTGTTTTACAGTCATTATACTTAAGATATAATAAATGTACATATGTAACATTATGTTGGAATACCGAATGTATTTGTCATAATTTTGAAACGTTATTGAACATATTTTCAATTTTGATTCAATCTCTCTGCACTGCAAATAATTGATTTACTACTAATTTAACATTTCCTGTCCTCTTCTAGTGGTAGTTCCTAAACATTCTTCTCAATTACTCTCAACAGGTTTCAGTATGAATTCAACTGTAAATGTTTTTTTATTTGTCACATATATAGTTATGTTTCTATTAATAACATAGATGAAGTTGGCATTTACTTGGAAACATACTGAAACTCAAACTGCAAATTAAAAGTAAATATTTTCCATGACACACATATACGTACGTATATACACATAAACTAGTACTCCTATTATTTCAGGTCCTACTACAACTACGCGTATCGCTCACAGGTGTGTCCATATACTCACTAATTGAATAGAACTCATTTCCTGAAAGAAATCTTTTTATTTTTTTTTTAAGCAAATCATATCTAGAATCTTCCAACTGGATAGTAATTTATTGTAGAGAGCATCGATGACATCGTGATGACATTCATTCACTTCCTTTCTTTGTAAGATTCCCACCTTTTTTTTATCAAGATGGAGTAGTGGAAAGCCAAATACTTTCTTTCCCAAAAATTACTCTCTCCTAAAAATATAACCCTTTCAATTTTTGACCTGTGTTGAAGGTTTCAGAGATTCCAAATAAAATTATCCGAAAATGAGAAACTTTACCAAATAGAATAGATCAATTTCAGAAGCTTGAAATCTGTGACAGAAACTTGTTGAAAAGTTCAATTGGGATATATCGATGTTAAAATATGGAATGAATTTTAAAATGTTGAAATTTCCGATCAATTTCTTCAATTTTTGACTTAGATAAAGCATATATCACTTAAAAAAGCATTTATTATTTTGAAAGGCAAAATAAGCACTGAATCAAACTTACTGATAAAATAACAACGTTCAAAAAACCAAAATATTCTCTAGAATAATTGGAGTAGATAATTTACTGTAGGCATGACTGCAAGATCCTGAACCATTCCCATTCTTCATTTCTATTGTTGTGACAAATATGTAGAACTTCGAATGAATATCAGTCTGAAATCCCGGCAGGTATCAGAAAAAATATTGTTGGCTTTACACTTCACCAGTTTCAAGAAATAGAAAACTTTCAAGATAGTATGGAAATTAAAAATGACAAAATGATTAAGGCTTTCGCGGCCGAGGTTTTCAGTGTCGCCATTTTTCGGGTTCGAAGGCCGTGGATTTTTGGAATTTCTTCCTGACGGTAGAAAACAGTCAATGAATGTTAACGACAAATTACCTTATCGAGGTACAGGAATTAGCACTCCAAACTACTACAGTGGGACTACTTACAACGGGCATTACACAGCATATTGCAGAAATTTTACACTATGCAAACAAGTGTTGGCAACTCAATTATTTGGAATCCTTAGAAATTCATAAGCATTAGCATTGCGGATGTAACCAGCTAAATGCTCTAGTTTACTCACTTGTTTTCAAATTAGCGTACCACATTGTCACAGGTAAACAAAGTTCAGGTACTCAATTAAGTTAAGTACCTTTGTTATAACCTATAGTGGTATTAAGATATGTTACTATTTTCCCCGTGGGTTGACCAATAACTGACTAAACTGAATAATCAAACTTTACTTTATTTTACTTTGAATACAACATACATTTCAACTAAAACTTCAACTATTATTTGAATGCCTATCGCCTTACTAAATCACCTCGTGTACCGCACTGTAACGTCCACTTGACTGTCTCGATATCTTCGTGGCTAGCCTTTAAATATCGTAATCGAATGTTGTCAAAATTTCTCCGAAGTTCTGTCGAAGTCGCTAACATTATTCTCGCTGCTTCTTGATTGGCGGGGAATCATCGTGCACTCGCGCGGTCTTAGCCACGTCACGCCTGGTGTATGGCTACCATCGGCGGCCGGCGTTATTTTCTTTCGGACATGATTTACAACACTACCCCCTACCCCCTTCCCTGAGGTTGTTCGCCCCGAACAACATTCCAAGAGGGGACATCATGACCCAAATAAGGACTCGGGGCATGTAAGGGCATAACTTTCGGAAGCTTTTCCTCGTAGTGTCAGTATGAGAGCTGTTTCTCCTCATTTCTCTACCCATTATTTTCCGTAGCGGCTTCAAATTGTCTACGAAAAATTGACCATGAAGATTCGCCATCTAAAGTTGAAATTTCAATAAACTACTGCTAGAAGGGGAAGGTGTCGTTTCCGATTTGCATTTTTCCGCAGTAATCCTTTTCGGTTCCGGTAATTCTTTACGAAGTTCCAGGAAAATCTCTTCAAACTTTTTATCAACTCCTTCAAGCTTCTGCTCAAGCTCCTCTTCAAATTTCTTTTCAACTCCCTCAAGCTTCTTGTCGACTGCTGTTTCTTCCTGAACAAATTCCTGTACCTCTCCTTAACTCACTTGGAAAGATTTTAAATCTTCCAATAGATGAAGGTACATCTGATTGTCTTTGTTTTTTCTGAATATTTACCAGAAAGTCTCTGTCTTTTTCCTGTTTTTCTTGAATATTCACCAGCAAGTCTCTGTTTTTTTCCTGTTTTTCCTGAATACTTGGTAGAGTAATTCACGATCTCATTTCGGCGTAATTGCTCTTCCTTTCTTCTGTACCTCAAACATTTTCTCAAGTTTTTCCATTCCGTCGTAATCGACACTCCTTGTTTTTACCATAAAACAGTAAAATTTCAGTCAATTATTCCACTTACAACAGAAATATAAGGGCTATTATCATCAATTATTTTCAGTTTATTATATTAGCTTGAAAATGTCCTTATAGGACGAAATTGCAGTAACATTAGTTACAAAAAAAGTGGTAAAAAAAACAGAAAGTTTTATTTCTCATTTTTCATCATTATTGAGTACGAAAAATTTTCCGAAGTATGCCGGTTGCAAGTCATCATTCATTTTGTAGATGACAACGTTAGCCAGATAATATAAGTGTTCCGAAACCGGTAGCCAATTGAATATTCAGATGAATTGGATAATAACTAGAATATTTTTTCAGGCTCAGGCTGTAGAGCCTGAACTTGTTTCAAAGTTGCTCGGTCATGGTGTCGCAGTATCTCCCATAGTCACGGTGGAACCTAGAAGGCGTAAATTCCACAAAGCAATAACATTGAGCATGCCAGCTCCAAAAGCTCACTCACAAGGTATGATCAATCAGTACCAAGGAACCACAAATACCACTCTACGACTGCTGTGTTCAATAACTGGTGAGTTTCCCTGCAAAATTGAATTTTTCTACTCCAACTATGTGATTGTTTTTATGTGAGATATTCACTTAGTATAGAGACCAGTAAACTATAAGATATGCTTAATTCACTGCTGTTACGACAACCATCTGATTTAAAAGTTTTTGTTAAAATTTATTGAAATTGAATTCCTTCATTGCTTAGTCTTATATCTTATTCTGTTTGCAGAATAGTTTGAAATTCGTTTAATATATTTTTATGTAGTCAGGAAACCCATTCGAAATGCAATTTCAATAATGGATATACCAATAAAGCTATGCCCTGAAGATTTTTCAAATCAACACAATTTTTTCCAGTTTGATATGTGAATAATATAAATGTAAATATACCGGGTTACATCGAATCTACTAGAAAAGTCATTACTTGTGTTACGAATATTTATTTATTCATTGATTATTCATTAATAGACATCCTTCAGTTTATACAATAATAAGTAAAATTTACATATACAATAAATACTAAGATGGATTAACTTGAGAGACATTCAAAATCATTACAGGTTTTCATAAAAGTTTCAACCTCTTGCAATGACACAAAGCGTACTCCATTTTTGATAGACACTTTGCATTCTCGCAATAAAACTATTTTGAGAATAGTTGAAAGTAGTGAAAACGAAGTATATGGGGCACTAAGGTCGCTTAAGCCAAAAAAATACCACTGGTCCAGATGATATTCCAGCTTTCATCCTAAAGATTGTGCACTTGTGCTTGCTCGTCCTCTCTTTATTCTAATTAATATTTGCTTAAAATCTGCTACAATACCAAGGATCTGGAAATCCTCAAAAGTCTGTTCCATTTTCAAGAAAGGAGATAGACAAGATTTTCAAATTATCAATTATATCTCTATTATTATTTTCAACTTTGCAAAGGTTTTTGAGATTCTGCGAGTTATATATCATCATGTAAGATGCAATATAAGTATAAATCAATACGGTTTCATGAAAACTTGTCCAACGGTCACCAACCTTCTAACTGTCGAATCTATTGACATCAGAGCCCAAACCGATGTTATTCAGTGGTTTCAAGTCTACCGAATATAGTACTTCCGGTGTTCCACAAGGGTCAAATATGAAACCGCTGCTCTTCAATATCTTCATTAATGATATTGCAGGTGTTATGGATGTTATTTCTTTTTGTATGCCGATGACCTAAAACTATACTGCCTCGTGGAGAACATAGGTGATTGTGAGAATCTCTCAGCAAACTTAGGACGGGTTGTAGAATGGTGTTATCGAAATAACTTGTCGCTAAATCTGGATAAATGTAAAGTCATGTCCTACAGTTTAAAAACGAACATCCTAATCTTTTATTATTCAATAGAAAACGTTTTCCTTGAGAGACCAGAAATATCTACTGATCTTGGAGTCACATTTGACACTGCACTATCATTTAATAAGCATATTGATAATGTTGTAACCTCCTCCTGTCGTATGTACGGATCGATTGCACTTTTTAAAGAAACTTCGACCTCAAAAACTCTATTCTATACTTTCCTAAGATCAAAGTTAGAATAAGCTTCAGTTGTGTGGACCCCCTTTTATCCATATCATATAATTCAAATACAGTTTTTAAAACTACTAAGCCTAAAAACTGATGGCATTTATCTACCAATAGGCACAACCCAATCTGAATTACTACAAAAGCTTATCATTTTCAGTCTCGAAAAAAGGCGTGATTATTATAGTGTGGCATTAACCTATAAAATTTTCAAAATTATCTCCGCTCCATACCATGTGTAAAGTGACAAGTTCTTTTAGCGATGTTCTAGATGTATTTAGTTGCAAGCTGTCAAATATAGAATCCTAATTTCTGAAATAATTGTTTTGTCACCTATTATGAAATATAAAATGTGTATATGCTTGATATTCATATGACAAGTTTGTGATGTATTTGTTATATTCTGTTAATTCCTGCTCTGTAATTGGGCTTTGTCCTGTAGAGTATTGTATCACAAATAAATAAATAAATGATGCAATTCTGTATTGAAGAACCTGAAATGCCATTTTCTAACAGAACTGTTAAAATTCAGTGGATTATTTCATATGTATCTTCTTTAAGAGGAAGAATAGCAAAAGCCCATTAATATTATTATTATTATTATTATCAACTTGTCTCATTATTATTTATCATACCAGTCACTAACACTTTGACTAACAGAACTGTTAAAATTCAGTGGATTATTTCATATGTATCTTCTTTAAGAGGAAGAATAGCAAAAGCCCATTAATATTATTATTATTATTATCAACTTGTCTCATTATTATTTATCATACCAGTCACTAACACTTTGCCATTGTAATTTTCTGTTATCATCTGAGGTCCTTAGATTAGATTATATCTGATCATGGTCGCTCAAAAGCTATATCAAAAGTAGGTACCTCTAAAAATTATATAGGTCTAAAAACTTTATAAATGTCACATTCTCTTCCAGAATTGTCTCAGAAACTCGAAAATGTTGAAATATACCATGTGTTCTATTAAAAGTTCAAAACCACAGCCATTTCCGGTGAAACCATAACTGACCAGAAATAGAAAACTATACGAAGACTCTCTCTCCTCTTCACATACCATTTACCAAATATCACTTTGACACATTTAATATTATAGAAGTTATTACTTTCATAATAGATGAAACAAATATTCGCACAAAATATTTCATTTACATATCTGCAGTTGTCCATTCAATACATTTGGAATATTTAAAAAAGTTCTTGGTAATCTTTCACATGGAAAGAAGATATGAACTGATCATTTTCGACAGGGTTTTCTGACAAAAATACCTGATAAAAAAATGTTATTCGTTGTCTTTCAAATGGTTGCCAAAGCTTTTGAAAGTTCTGCCTATGTCAGACCATTTTGAATGCTTACTATTCTATATAGTGCATATGACCAAAATAGAATCACCAATAGATTAGTGTAGTCTTCTGTATATAGGTGAGTCATACTTTATAACAATTAGTAAGAAAACAATTTTACAGAATTGAATCAAAGTCCCTTTCCCGACCTATATGCTTATGAAAATGTTCCTACTAGCTTAAATACGTTTTTCTTATCACTTGATGAGCTTTTAGCCTACAATCTAGATTTACACATCTGAAGTTTTGGCATGCTAGACGTAACTATAATCAGTGTTGTCTTTACTGTTGCAAACTATTATTATTCATGCTTCGATAGGAACTAAATCAGGTAAAATTTAGTTCCCATACTTGTGTGTATTATGGAATGGAAATATGCTTGTTTTGTCTTTGTTGTTTTTTATTACTCCAACTTTTTATATCTCGTAAATGATTTGAATGGGGAAAAATAATAGACTGCAAATCCATGCTAAATTTTGAGGGTGGCATTGGATACCTAGTAAAAATGTATGATTTTTAAAGGTACGTGGAAATCTTGGAAACGTGAAAACGATAAGCCGAATTGGGAGATAATTTGCAAAAAGTTCTCGTACAGTTTTCATATAATTAGATACTAATTATCTGTGACTGAGATCTTTCCTAACCATACATCCTACAAAAAAATGAGACAGGCAGGGCCGTCGCCATGGAAAGGGGATGGGGGGAACCTCCCCCCCTGCTTTTTCGACTTGGGAAAACGTTGGGAAAAAGTTGGTAAATCTTGGGCCATTTCATTTTTTCGAAAGTTGGAAAATTTTGCTGGTGGGGTTGGGAAAATTTGGATTCCCTCCCCCCTGGTTTTTCTTTTCGCTACGGCCCTGGAGACAGGAATCATTTTCTGAAAGATACTAAATTTCTGTACGACTTTTGTACAATAAGTATTTCATATAAAAAACGGCCATTAATTTTGTGATACCGGGCAAATTAGTAGGTTTATTTGGTGGTAAACATAACCTACCCTAATTGTAAGGTAGATGATTGATACACCATGACAATATAAGTGACCTTTTTTATGTTAATAACTAGTTTTAAAAACCGTTACAGGAATTTATCACCTTTGCATACATACATACGAAAATGATTTTTTTTCTATTTTCCTGATTCATTTTTTTGAAAGGCTTTTGGTTAGGGAACGTCTCAATAGTAATTAGTATTTGAATCATTGAACGCCCCACTTGGGTTAAAGATAGCATTTTTCAGGACTATAAACATTATACAGAGAGGTACCATATGACTCCCCAAAAATTTATCTTACAGCAAGATAAGAATAATTGTTCTGTGTATGTGCAATATCAAAAGAAACCACCGACAAGATACTATCGAAATTTTAAATAAAATGTGAAATTCACATGAAAATGAATTATGGGTTTTTTAGTAGTGTTATCTAATTTGAAATTCTCGGTCTACAAATAGATATTATGGATTCTTGTTACTTGACCATCAATGAATTTGTTTTAATAATTATATTTTGAAGTTTTTCATATAAGTAGAAGTTCCAGACCTTTTGAGGCTTATTCATGCTTATCCGAATATTCGCAATTTTTATTGTGAAACGTAAATCGCAAATTTTCATGCGAATGGTTTATCTAATGTCAGCTGCCATTTTCATTTTCTTTCAATAATAAACTCCAAGTCAAAAGTTGTTTAGTGTCTTGTTTACTATGGAGAACATATGTAGTTTTTGGACTAAAAAAGTAACAGGAAAATTGATTTAGCATATTTTCCTAGGACTTACAGCCAACCTTTCTGCAGGAAGTATGCGTACCAATCTTGGCCACATCATTACCAACAATTCATGAAATCGAGAGAAAGTTACACGAAAATAGTTGAGATCAAACTCACAGTGGAATTGCTCAGTGGCCTAAACATAAACTTTTATATTTATTTTACTAGTATTTCTGAATATATTTGAATATATGCAATTTTTTGGCATTCTGCTAAAGCCAGTGTAAATAAAAAGTGACATGTACTAAATAGGTTCTATGAGGCCATGATTTATCCAATTTTGAATAAAGTTCAAATATTTAAACTTCTTTGCAGCATTTGTGGCAACAAAAATTTTGCCAAATTCGGGCAAGCATGGCCTGCACCTTTACTGTTTATTGAAATATGAGCATTTTTACACCAACTTATTTCTCACTATTGCTTACAAATTCACCAGTGGATTAAAGCTTCTGATATATGATGGGAGTGTATATATGATATTTATTATTACTTTTACATGTAGGCTACCTTGTTAATTGAAAGACATTGATGATATAACATATACAGGCCGTTTCTTTTATCATGTGGTAACATTGCTATATTCTAAACCTAAACCGTATCTCTAATTTTTTGTTTGAGATGGTCGATATCTGTACTTGGTGTTGAAAAAAACTTTATCGTTTATGTATCCCCAGACAAAAAAATCTTAAGAAGTAAGATCTGGGGATCGAGCTGGCCAGTTGATTGGTCCATTATTTCCAATCCATTTTCTTGGGGATATTGAATCTAACTGTTCCCTTACTATTGCTGCATTATGGGGAGGAGCGCCGTCCTGTTGAAAATATTATATTTCATTCATTCATTCAATTCATCTAAGTAGCTATCGAATTCATTGAATAGAAAATGAAAATACATTTCACTATTCAAATGATCATCGTAAAAGAAAGGGCCAAGGAGGTTTGTTCCCACAATTCGCAATCAAACCACTTCGCAAATCGCAAATCGAAATCTTCTTCCGTAATCCATTTCATTGAGGTGATGAACTTTGTGTATCTTGTAGCATTTATATTTGTTCTTTTTCAAAATAGTTCTGGTGGATTTTACAGAAATCCCCATTTCGTGGACAATTTCTCGTAAAGAACAATCTTGATTAGCATAATCTTTGTAACTGGCCAATCCTAAATGTAAAAAAAAAAGATGTTTTCACTGTGTAAATTTCAATGTGGTAATATTTGCTTACCCATAACATTTATTTGATTCCTCACAGTTCCTCACACTGTCAAATGCACCATAGTCCCTAAAATTTCTTTCTAATCGTCTAAACATTTGGATGTTTGGAATACGACGATTCGGGAATAGCTCAACATACGTATTCCTTGCCAAAAGAGGATTTCTATTTGCTTTTGCATAACTGAATAGCATATGAGTCCTTTCATCATTTGAATACATTTTTGATATATTCATAAACGTATGACAGGTCTCAACAGATATCAACAACGCCTGCCATAGAAACCAAATAAAGCCTACGCATTTAAGTTGGTAATTGAATTGAGATGCTATTTGATCATATCAAATTATACAACAATCGAATTTTGACCAAAAACTGATATTTTCATTACTTGCAGGATTGAGAATTATAAAAATAATACAAATTATAATTGATTAGGGAAAAATAAGCTTCGAAGGAAGGATTACAGCAATACAAAAATTGACAAAACGAAAAAGTACGAAATTTCATTTTGTAGGGTATCTACCTGTTGAATTTATTGGGTTGTCTGAATTATATTTTGAAGAAATCGAAACAATTTATAAAAGAAGTAACAGGACCGCAATTTAAAATTGTTGTCACTGATGATGGTAGTTATTTCAAATGAAACGCTATAAAAATATCAAATGTGATATACCCTTGGATTGTGAATCCATCGCTTTATCAATATCTGTAATAAAAAAAGAAGGTCCCTTATTTAAAAAAAATGTTGATGGTGGCCATGTTGACACGAAACGTTTTATCAAATATTTATAATTACATCGTCATAGTACAATTCGAATACAATAACTTTTTTTTTTTCATTTTTTTATATTTTCCGAAATAACAATTCTATTAAAAAAAAACGAAAAACAGCATTTTTTGTTTTCCCCGTATAACTCGAGAAGGGCGAGAATCCTCCTAAATTTTCTTCGACCATTATATTGTTCCCAATGACAGTTACCTTTTACGGTTTAGAATATAGCAATGTTACCACTTGATAAAAGAAATGGCCTGTATACTTTTTTTTCAATGTAATTTCTTTATTAAATTGAAAATATTGACTACTCTCTTAGGGAAAATGCATCTTTCAAATAGAACACACTAGATTGTGGTCAAACATAATTTTGTAAATGGCATATGTTACTCCATTATGTTGTGTGATCGGACCAAGTTTGCTAGAAAGATCCTGGTGTGGTTACAGTTGGACGTCTACCATAAGGAAGGTAGACAGGTAAAATAATTTGTCAGAAACGCTCGACCTACGGTACTTTTGTTAATAAAGAACTCCAATAGTATTCATTACTACACCATAGGTTCCAAACAGTGCATCAACTCAAATTCCTAACATCGGTTAACATATGTTTACTATCTCTTATGGAAATTCATCATAAATCGACTAACCTAATGATAAGTTCTTTACTTTGTGTTGACATCCTAAATAAGCATTTTTGGGTTAATGTTTTTAATAGAGTCGAGAGATTTCTATAAAACAAAAACGAATTGGTAAAAGCACCCATGCGTCTTGGATCAAACCAGCTTTTATCGTTACTAATGAAGTTCACCATAGAACGACAGTTCTCACATTCAAACGAGTCATTGTTTAAAATATAATATTTCAAACCTTACAAAAATTTCAGAAGCTTCAATCCACAATAAGTAATATGTTTTTTTAATCATATTTATTGATGAACCATTCCTTTAGGTGGTCAAAACAAAGCTGTATGGGAAGATGTCACTGGATCTACTCCTCTAACTTTTGTCAAGGATTGTGTTTCCTTCACGACAACAGTTTCAGCAAGATTTTGGTTAATGGACTGCAGAAATGTTGCCGATGCTGCTCGAATGGCTACTGAGCTGTACACCCAGGTAAGAATGGAATATTGTATCAATTTGACACACGAGAATTATGACTTTACTCTTGTCTTTAGCAGTATATTAGATACATTATTGTTTACAGTTATTTTATCTAAAAAAGAAAAAGTTGACAGTAGTCAAAGAGATTGTGGATGTCTCCTTTGAAGATATTAAAATCCTAACCTTTCATTCTCTCATTCATTTCTCAGAGCAGCTGGTAACTTTATATAAAGCCACTATTTGTAACCAAACTATAATTTATTAAACTGTTATGTTTGAGGTAGGATATGTTAAATCAAAATTCCAACAATTCAACTTTGATACTTCATTTCTTCTGTATCATAGTTTACAGAGTGGCACATTAAAAGGCTAAGAGGATATCTTTAGATATATTCTTGTAACTATCATTGCACATGTTAGGGATCTGGCATTAAACTGAGGTTGTATCTATACTAATGTAAACTAGTAAGATCGGAAAGCAACTGACTCTCTTGCGTCCTGAGAAGCTGACGTTTTATGCTGTAGCAGATATGACACTTTCAGTGAGACGGTTCATTTAAATATATTATATTATGGTGATATTTTACATGATGAATGGAAGTTATAAATTAACTTGCACATATTCTTAGGCAGCACATGTTCCATTTATGGCTAAATTCGTGGTGTTCGCCAAGAAAATATCTCCTCTAGAATCAAGATTGAGAGTATTCTGTATGACAGACGATAAGGAGGATAAAACATTGGAGCATCAAGAACATTTCACAGAAATAGCCAAGAGCAGAGACATTGAGGTAAGACATTGTCATATTCAATGAGAATAAAATTACAATTATACTAATAATGTGAATCATAGTTACTGGAAGGAAAAGATATCTTCATGGAATTTGCTGGAAACCTTGTGCCAGTCCTGCAGTCAGGTGACCAGCCCAGATTGGGATTCAAAGCTTTCAAAGAGAATCGATTGGCCTTCAGCATGCGAATGAGAGACCAGGTAGTATTGAGGTTATCATTGTGTAACTAATTTTGTTAAGAATATTTCTTTTGAAGGATGAGGAAGCAACTGGACGCATTGTATTTATGAGTGAAGCCAAAGTGGCACGAGGCGAACCAAATCAAATTCCACTGTGTACCCTCAATCTTGTTATGCCAAGTGATGTTCTTCCAGGGAGAGATTCCCAATCAGATTTGCTGTCTATTGATAAGGATCACAGTTTCCTTCAGCATGGGGGCATCAGTGAGTCTTGTTTTATTCTTAAGTATACCATAAATTTAGTGCTTGTCCTCATTGTCAGTTTATAAATAAATTATTAATTTCCTAAGATTCTGCAATCAATTATAATAATATTTAACGAAAACAAATATTTATGATGGAATTGGCTGATACTTGATGAAAATCCATGATAGATAGATAAAATATTTGTCTATTATGTTTATCACACCGCATAATATCGTGCTTCTTGATACACGGATTAGCTTCGACCACAAGAACTGGTACCAATCTCAGGACTCTGATGAGACAGTCGCAATCCACTCAAGGTAAGTCGTCTTTGAGGGATTTAATTTAACATTTTGTTAAGTATCATAACGGTATACAGTCCCTACTGTTCCTATTACCGTTCCGTTACACACATTTAAAAACATATTTAGTAACAGGGAGTTATTCAATTCTAATTGATCATTCTGTAAATTACCCGAATTCCTAAATTTATTGATTTCTAAACATTCTAGAAGCTTGAGTTTCAAACTTTTCTAAATGTAATACGTCGTATTCATGTTTAACCTCATGTAATTCTGCAGAAAGGTCGTTTGCCAATGTTGAATTTGTCTTTTTTTAACTACTTCTATTTTATTTGATTCTTTGGGAAAATGTTCTCCCTGTTTGGCCAATATACAGTTTTGGGCAACAGCCACAAGTCAGCTTATATACATAGTATTGTGATCTGTCATTTGGTTGTATACTGTTGCTTCCATTATTTTGTGAAAACAGCTGAGGAGGCAAATCATCCTTTAATTTTCAACACACTGGAATACAGGATCTGATTTTGTGATTTTCAGTGTGCTTTGGGAATTTTTCATTTGTTACAAAGTTATTTACTAATGATGAAGTGTTATATTCTTTTAGAATTGCAAGCAGAAAATATGAATTTTGGACTCATATTTTCAACTTTAGTACACATAATGCAAGGGAGATTAAGCGAGTCTTTTTTTTCTCTGACAGAGTTAGCAAAGTGAACTTCAAATATATTTGTAATTACTTTATTTTCAGTTACGATTTTGTAATTGTAATTTAAGGTTATTTCCTGTTTTTGTTTCATGCGGTTGGTTCCATAGTGTTTTCCCTTTATTACTAGAATTATGGATAATATTTGTATGACAATTCCATTTTGCAGTGGAGCTGCTGGATTTTTTTCTGAATTAGATTTTTTGGTTTAATATTTTGCTTGGGTATTGCAACATTGGGTATTGCATTATTGAAAATGTGGGAATAAGTTATTGAAATGTGGCATCAACACTTTCTTCTTGTTCATAGGAGAAGTCGCCCGAAATTAGTAGTTATTTGAATTCTGATATTGAAAAGTCATTAACTTTTCGCGTGACAATGTACTTTGTATTTTTGATTTCATTCGCTGACTTTAATCGTCTTCCTGAAGATGATCACTTGGTGATTGAAACACATGTCGAGGTGTTGAAAGTACCAGTTTGGTTGTGGGATAGAACTTCAGTAATATTCATTACTACACCAAAGGTTCCAAACAGTGCATCACAAGTTCTTTAACACTAACTGAATTTTATGTACTTAGTGCTCCTTATATATAATTGATAATTTAATATATAATGACTTTACTACCTACTTAATGATAATAATTTCACATCCTAGGAACAAAGTCACTGAATTGGACATATATACTGTTTCCTAATAGTGAAGTGTAATTAATGCTCATCATTAATGCAAAACGCTAACAGAGTTCTCAAAAAAAATTTGTGATTTCGGTATGATTTGTCACAGCAGGTATAGGCCGGTTTATAATATTTTACCAGGTCCACCATATTTTTGGTATGGTAAAAAGGTCACAAATAAAATATTTTAAATGAATTTTCGGGTATGTAATAAAAAATACTTGTCAAATCTACCAAGGCAGTGAGTTACTTCGGTATCCTATCCACCGCCGAAAAGTTTCGTCCTCTGTATTCTACTGCAGCCGCGTTTATCTTTGATATTTGAGGATTTAGTTCTTTGTCGATCCCATAGATGGCCTTTTCGTAAAGGGAAATGTCATCGCCCTCGGGCTTGTTATTCAAAGAGAGTTGACTTTGGCAATGCATTTGTAGTTTAGCCTAGCACTGTCTAGTATTGAATCATAAATGCTCTAGTTTTCAACTTGATGCCTTCTAGTGAAAGGCAGACGACGAATCCCGTTGGCGGTCGACATCGAAGCTTGGCTTCGCAACTGACCATCGTGAGGAGCTTCGTTTATCTTTGATATTCGAGGATTGAGTTCTCTGTCGATCCCACAGGTGGCGTCTTCGTAAGGGGAAATATCATCGCCCTTATTTAGTTTAGTTATTGTCAACAGATGGGGTTCGATACGTGCCCCTAATATTACTATATCACTAGACAGTGACAACCGATCTTGTGTCTTTAACTTGCTGAACTAAGAAGACCATTTGCTGCATGTTACTGAGTTAAGGACAGTTGAAAGTACTCTCGTGGGAAGTACTCTCGTAATTTCGTTGCTTATCGTCTACATCGTGCTGAGCTGGACGAAAGAGTTCCTAGTGGCTTTATTACCAAGTAGTCTCTGACTAGGTCAGTGAACCTCTGAGTGGGCGATCGCTGCCGTTTGCTGACGCCTGTGAAGCGAGGTGAGCTTGAGGTCCCGTGAAGTGAGAGCAGAACGGCCCGTTTGTCGTCGGCCGACGCTCTCTAACCCATTCAGTCTGAGTAAAATCCTACGCAATAGATAGATAGATAGATCTTTATTTGCTCCGGTTACATATAATGTACATATATAAACTCCGAGGAGGCTGGAACATGTCAGTAATAAATAACAACTAAATAACAAATCAAAGCTTTACATACATAATCAGAAATCGATTAAAAAAACTAATATACCTTGGTTTAATCAGGAGATGAAAGGTAAAAGTAAAAAAAGAGACATAGCATACATGACATTCAAAACTAACAAGCCTGATGTCAACTGGCAACAATACAAAATATTGAGAAATGAGTGTGTTAACTTGTTAAGAGTAAAAAAACAACAGTATTTCTATGATAAAGTAGATCTCAACAAGAATAATCCCAAAGCAATGTGGAAAACCTTAAAATCTTTGGTTGATACAAAAACTAAAGTCCCTTGTTTTGATAGTGGAATACAATTTGAGTGCCATGGTGTAGTAAAAATAGTACGAGAAACACAGGAAATTGCTGAGTTATTCAATACGTATTTCGTTAAAAGTATTGAAGAAATATTGAACTCAATTGAAAAGGCCCCAAAATGGATTAGCCTTACTACTGTTAACAGTCACTTTTCTGAATTCAAACAAATTCAATTACCCGAGCTTTCAACAATTATACATGAACTGGAGAATAAGACTGCTAGTGAAATCATTGACATTAGTTATTGGTCATATATTATTACACTTTATCAATATCTCACTATTTTATGGCACATTTCCAAGTCAGCTGAAAACAAGTATTTTGACCCCTATTCAGAAGGTGGCAAACAATAACAAAGCATGGGATTTCAGACCAATCAATACATTACCTGTATAGAAAAAGTGCTGGAGATAGTTGTTTACCAACAACTACTTGATTATCTGAATCAAAATAATTTGTTAATGACTTATCAATCAGGCTTTAGACAGAATCATTCATGCGAAGCATCACTACAGTTAACCATAACAAAATGGAAAAAATCAATTGGTAGTGGTGATTATGTAGTCGCAGTTTTCTTGGACTTGAAGAGAGCTTTTGAAACGATTGATCGCCAAATACTGATTGATGAGTTGAAAGCCATAGGCACACAAGGTACTGTATTGAAATGGATCAGGGACTACCTGACAGATCGCAAACAGATCACCAAAGTGGAAAATGTATTCTCGGCTCCCATCACCAATAACTTCGGTGTACCACAGGGAAGTGTCTTGGGTCCTTTATTATTCCTATGCTATATCAATGATATGCAATACTATCATGACTGTGATTTTCTTAATTTATTTGCAGATGACACGTTACTGTCAATCTCAGGCAATGATCTGTATGGTACTATCAACAAGATGAACGATTCCCTATCAAAACTACAAGTATATTTCAATATTAACAAAATGAAACTCAATGTGACAAAATGTAAGGCAATGATCCTAACCACACCCTTTAAATACAAAAACATAAACTCAAACCAATTTAATCTGGAAATAGATAACAATAAAATTAAATTCATAAACCAGATTAAATATCTTGGATTCATACTTGATGATAGCCTATTATTGCTTGAGCATTTTTCCTACATAAGTAAAAAAATTAGTAAGATCCTTTACTTATTCAGCTCCACTTTGATTATTGTGGTAGCTTACTATACTCCCTTAATTCTAATAAAATTTCACAACTACAAAAGCTGCAAAATCGCGGTATGAGAATAATATTAAAGTGTAATCGTTTTACCAGCATTGCAGCGATGTTAGATTGTTTGCAGTGGGTATTGGTGAAAAACAGATTTTATAAATTAACAATGATTTTTATTTATAAGATATTACATCAGCTACTTCCAGATTATCTAAGTAAATTTACTATGATTAAGTCCCAAATACATAACTATACTACAAGAGTAAATAATATGTTTCATCTCCCTAATTGGAAAATGGCAAACTTAATGAAATCGCTATTCTATAAAGGACTTGATGAGTTCAATAAGCTACCACAAGACATCAAGCAATCTAATACCATTTATGTATTTAAAATGAGGATCAGTAAACATATCCAGTCGTTATAAATCACCAGAATGTATTACAACATAATCAATCTTGTTCACACGAATTTATTTATATACTTTAAGTGCTCTCTCATATAGTTCTCTCTCTCTCATATAGTTAACATACTGTCATTTAAGAATTCTTGCAAGCTATAATAAGGTTTTTCCGAGGTAGTTCTTCAAACGATATTTCATTGTTGAAATTGGAAGATTTCTTAGAGTGGGTGGAAATTTATTGTAAATGTTTATAACGCTATATTTGACATTTCATTTCTAAGATCATTCTTTGTTCTGGTGCTGTATAAGTGATCCTTTTCTCAGTTAATGAAAAGTTCTGATTTATTTTCTGTTACAAATACTTCTGCTTCATATATATAGAGATTTATCAAAGTTAAAAATGTTGCTCCTAATAAAAGCTTTTCTGCAGCTATCGTTTTTTTTTCATCTTATAGATATCAACAGAGTTTCCCGAGAATATAATTCCATATTTTATCCTAGATTGAATATAAGCATGGTATGCAGAGAGGGCAGCTTCGTTTGAGACATGTTCCGACAGTATACACAATGCATAGCAATATTTTGCAATATTTTTTAATAAGTAGTCTATGTGATTTTTCCAGTCCAGTCTCCTGTCTATCAAGAGTCCCAAAAATTTTACCTGATTGCGTATGTTTATATTTAGATTGTTATATTCAACTCTGGCAAGGATCTATTTTCGAAATGAATTACTTGAGTTTTGTCACTATTAAGTAGTAGGTCATTTGCTGTGAAGAAATTGTTCAATACATCTAGCACATTTCTTGTCTTTGTCATAACCATCTGAGAGTTCTTTTCTTTTACGATGACCAATATATATCATCAGCATATAATACAATATCTTCATTAACTACATTTGGTATTTCATTTGTGTACAGTATATATAATAATGGGCCTAGGATGGATCCCTGTGGCACACCTTTTTTATCACAATTGATTCTGATTTAATTATCCCCGAGATGTCATTTTCAATCATATGTTGGGTTCTATTTATCAAATAGTATTTGATTAAGGACAAAGATGTGCCTTTGATTCCATATTTATCAAGTTTGTTGCATAAAATTTCATGGCTGACACTGTCAAATGCTTTTGACAGGTCAATACACAAAGTTATAGTACAATCATCTTTGTTCAAATGATGTAAAATTTTTTCAATGGCTTGATATATTGCTTATATGGTTGATTTACCTTTACAGAATCCATTTTGTTCTTTTGCTAACAACACATTGTCATCTAAAAACATGAACGTTTGTTCATGAGCTTTTCAAAAATTTTTCTGAGATTTGGCAATAATGATATGGGTCTGTAGTTACTTTCTTTATGTCTGATTCCTTTTTTAAATATAGTTTTCAGTACTTCTGAGAATACTGCTTGTGAGAAACATAAATTTATAATATAAGTCAAAGGATAGGCTATGATCTCTGCTGTTTATTTCGATATGGGTCTGTAGTTACTTTCTTCATGTCTGATTCCTTTTTTAAATATAGTTTTCAGTACTTCTGAGAATACTGCTTGTGAGAAACATAAATTTATAATATAAGTCAAAGGATAGGCGATGATCTCTGCTGTTTATTTCGATACACACATAGAAATCTGATCTTCACCAACAATTTTTTTATTTTTTAGTTGTTTAATACATTCTATTATTTCAAGCGGAGTGGTAAGTTCAAAGAAAAAAGCATCATCACATTCTTTTATTTTTGTATAATCTGGGCTATCTGGTTTATTTAGGTCAGGGCAAGCTTCACTAAAATACTTATTGATTTGATTTACTATGGTTTGTGAATCTTTATATTTTTTTGCAAAACTTTCTAGGATATTGTTTTTGTGGTAGTTGGGTTTTGTTATTTTTTTGATAAATGACCATGTAGCTTTGGTTTTATATTCGGCTTTCATTATATATTCAGTGTTGGATATTTTTTTAGCAGCTACACAATAGACAATACAGAGAACAGCACAATACTTTTTAAAATACTGAATACTTATCAGCCCTAGCGTCTTCTTTTTGTATAATGAGTGTTTTCTAGAGCAAGATTTTTTTATACCCTTGTTATCCATAAATTGGGCCTAGTTTTAAGATCAGTTTCATTATTGTATATATGATCTTCCTTATTCATCTGTACGTAATTATCAAGAATGAAGTTTTATTCCATACTGCCTGATGTGCCGTTTTACTAGTTTTACTAGTCGACCCCTAAACATATTTTCTCCAACCGAGTTACCCGAGTAATGAAAACCAACGTGGACAGAAACCATGTTACAGTCTGTCTAAAAGCATTTATCATGCAACCAAGTATTACTGATGAGATCTATGTCAGATCGAAGTATTCAATTATAAATGTTGTGTATTAAAAAAATCCCACATCTGTTTACGAATATAATAAATGTAATTGATTTCAGGCAAACCAGATACAATTCATAGAGCAGACTTCAGGCTTTCTGATATTTGTAACTTGTTGGATGAGGATTGGGAGAAGCTGGCAATGGAATTAGACATTCCACCATCAGATATTGAACTGATAAGAGAGGAATATCCTGAAAATCATCCTCAACAAGCTATGATCATGTTCAGATTGTGGTTGAGACAGAAGGCAAACAAGGCCACAGGTAGGATGAATATTTTATATTTTTATAATAATACATCCTGACGTTGAAAGTAAACCATTGAATATGATATATTATTTTTCGAAAGGAAATATTTTGGAGCTGGCACTTAATAAGATCGGAAGGCAAGATATTGTAGACAAATGCATTTGCAATGTTGAGTTGGTAACTGATGACATGGAGAAGGCTTTGGCTAAAATTCATCTTGATCAATCCGGTTTTGATAATCTGAAGGAGGAATTGGGCCCATCCAGAGACACTTCTTTAAGAAGAGATACTCATATCGATAAATCTTTTCAAGATGAAATTGACAAAAGCGAGAAAAGTGGTGAGTTCGAATTTTGTCATTGATATTTTTTGTAGTATGTGAAATAACTAAAAGATCTGTCGTGAAAATTTTTCAAATTTCAGAAGATGCTCAAAATCAAAATTCATCAGGAAAGGATTTCACTGATACCATAAGTGATCACTTGAACCGAAACGGATTTCACGAACCTGAAACTTTAGATAATCGGCCTATGACACCTATAAATGCCAACGCAGAAGTTCTTGAAGAAATAACGCAGCAGCTGAATCTGATACATTCAACACCTAAAGTTATGGGAGACCCCAATGCTAACACACCTCCTTCCAGTCCTGCCGAGTTTGGTTTTGACAAAGAACCAAATTTGGTCGAGCAATACGTTACTGAAAATAAAACTGTTTTAGGTGAGTAAAGTTTTTGACTTAAAATTACATGTGCTTTTTTTCTATTATTTGCAATGTTAGGTGAATTTTGTAAGGGGAAAGATCAGGGTATGGCAATTTATGGATAAGTAAACGGTTATGAAACTAACAGACTGGACAGTTGTAGTTGCTTCTCGTGGAAAGATAAAAATGAATATAATTTCAACTAGGTGAAGGATGCTCCAAGTGGTTTCTAACCTTTTTTTGTTTTGAAAACATTATACATACTGTATTTTGTGAGGGTTTTATATGTTCATTTTCGTTTTTGGCTTAACACAGCAGTTTATTTTTTATAATGAAATGATAACATTTAGAAAATGATTTCATGATTATTAATATGTAGGTCATGCCCATTTTAATATTATGCTTCTTAACATTTCTGTTGGCAGAGGGTTTTCTTTTTTCTTACCACATGGTGTAGAGCTTGTGCCTAATTTATTTTCTTATTATTTGCACATCACATTTATTAACAGTGCATGCTAGGAAATATTTTTACATTCTTAACTGTCAGTAGAATGTATTATTTGATATTTTCAAAAGGAACTCCGAAACATGAAGAAATCATTTCAACTTCGCCTATTGAACAGACACCAATGGAAACTTTTGTGGATCCAATTGTTGTTCTCAAGAAAAATGTTAGTGATACATTAACATTTTTACATCAAGAAAGAAATGACTTTCTTTCCGAAGATGATATAATCATTCCAACCAGAAAAGACGATCATATTTCAAAAGAGATTGATTTGAGCAGTATCAGCCTTAAGACTCCCAAAAGGTCTACCAGTGATTATGATGATGGTCTTCGGGATGTTGTAGAATGTGAAGTTGATGAAGTCATCAAACAAGCCGAAGAGGTAGTAAATGATAAGCTCAATACGTTAGATAACTCTGTGGATGAAAGGTTACAAAAAGTACTCCGATTTAAAGAAGAGATAAGCGAAGATTTTGTAAATGATAAAGATTTTACCGAAGAAAAAGTTGACAGTGTCTTTGAGGATGTGAAGACCACTACTGAGGACTCCTTGGATAATTTAGAGAGTCTCAAAGATGACTCCATATCAACAGTTCAAGAAAAGAGTGAAGAAGCCTTCAAGTTCTTAGAAAATGAGGAATCGAGTCCTCTTAGCAATAGAATTGACGATACTCGAACATTTTTGGAAAAAGAATTAGAGGCCACAATAGTAGATGATCTCATTTCAAAAAGTCCTAAGAGTGCAATCCCAGTTGCCAAACCGAGAAAAAGTGTAGAGAAAGAAAAGAATGTAGACGTTTTGTTCAATGAAGATAGAGCCTTGTCACCGACGGATGGAGAATTACTGACGAAAATTCCAATTTCCACAAAGGGAACCAAGGTTAAAACAATTAAGAAACACTCCAAAGACCCACTCAAAGAGTTTGTGAATCTCTCTAAAGATGTTAATTGGGATGACGATGAAGAAACAAACAAAATAATCAACACTGTTACTCTATCTAGTGATCCCATTGTACAAACAACAGTTACAAGGACGATAATAGAAGGTACCCCAGAAAATGTCAGGAGCAAAATACCTGTGTTGCAATCGGAACTGTCAACTGAAACCCTCGAGAAGCATGATTTCGAATTTTCCCCCAAAAGTAAAATCCCTGTTTTAAAAACGGAAAGTACAAGAATAAACTCCCCGGAAACAATACAAATAGAACGAACGATCATTTCCCCGGATTCTTCAAAAGTTGTAGAAACAACTACAACAATAATGTCGCCGGGTTCTAAAATATCCACAAAAAGTAGCACGTTAGATTCGGAGTCTGATGATGACAGCAGAAGGAGTCCACCTTTGAAGGGAATCTTGAAAAAGACTGCGATGAGAACGGTCGGAAGTTCTAGTGGTTCAGACATAGCTCTCCATGAAGAAGGTGCAGAACTTAGCGATGATGAATCAGGTAATATTTTTTTCATATTCCTCAATTCCTTTTTCTGAATAGTTGCTTTCAGCAAATTTAGAATTTAGATAGATATCTTTCTGCTTCTGCAAATTTGCTTCATTAAGATTCAATTCTGAATCCAAAGTCAACTTTTCTCTGAATTGCCTGAAATTATTTATTCAAATATAAGTATCTAGTAGCTCAGTTGCAAATCTAAGTTTCAATTTTGATATTCATAATATTTGAAAGGGGAACCTTGAAATTTTACATACCAATCACTATCTCTCTCTCTCTTACTTTTCTTAGTGGTATCTTTAAAAAAATAAATAAAATAATACTGCTTTCCTTTCTGTAGATATCCACGCGAATAACATAACCATTATTTTTGTTGAATTATATTTTTACTCAGATAGGTAGTCACTAGTTTCAACTCTTTATGTTTTATGAAAATTACCAGTCAAATGGTGCAATATTCAAGGCAGACAATTCAGAGTGAGTCTATTTATTAAGTAGAACTATTTGCAGATACACCAAAATGTTGTTAACAGAGAGAAAATACATTTTTTTGGAAAAATAGACCGATTTTATCAGTTCTTGCCTGTATTTAGTGAAATACACTAATACATTTGATAAGTAGTTTTTCTTCAATAATATCAGTTGTCTTGGATTAGAAAAAATGCAATTATGTAACTGAAATTTCATGTTAGATGAAAGTATGACACATCAAAGGTGTTGAATGGTAATCAGTAAATAAAAAAAATTGAATCTTTTACATTTTTATGTGAATAATAAATTTTTCCTCCAAGTGAATGCATAAAATTGCGAAATGCAAAAATTTAATAAATTTTTGATGTCAGAGCAAAAAGTTTAATAAGAATTCTCATAGTTTTCACAGTAAAATGATATTTCTATTACTAAAATAATGCTAACTTCCCAAATTATAACTTATGCAATTTTATTTTTCAGCATGCATCCAAACCATATTTCAAGATATGAAATTTAGAATTAGTTTTCGAATTTATAGTGTTTGATTCTATAATTTCTCTTAATTTCATAATGGTTCATTGCTAACGGCATGGTTTGTTTCATTAATATTCAACATATTGGGCAGATTCGGTCCATAAATATGACATTTCAAATATGGATTAAAGAGCTATAAAAATTAAATCCTTTCATTAAATATATTTAGAAATATTCCTAACATCGATAAGATTCAATTATGTGCAATCACTCAGGTAGAGACCCTTGCAGAGACCTGGGAAGTAGGCAGATTGAGAGCTTTTGAAATTGGGTTTCAAGTCAAAGCCGAAACTTTGAACTACTGAAAACACGCGTGTTCCAACCCGTACTTCAGATTATCAGATTGCTGACCGCGGAATCCTTTCCACAAGAGTGTATTTGATATGTATCAAAAATAGGTGAATTATCGGACATAACACTCAAAAATTGGGCAAAACCGCGGACACGTTTTTTTGGCTATTGGTACTGATGATGGGGCAAGTACTCCGAAACTGGTCTATCGGTTGGTCGTACCAACCAAATGAAATTAATTTCTACTTTTCATAGTGGGAAGTAACTTACGACGAATCTTCCAACTGGAAGACGTTGAACAGGTGCCTGATGGTTTTACTTCAGCTTTCTGCCCTTCACATATCACTCGTACTAGTATTCTTAGGATAAGAACAGGACATTGTAGCTGTAAATATCATTAATTTGAAATCGGAGGAAGTAATAGTCTGGAGCATGTCATTTGCATGCATTTGCGTGTGTCTGGATCGGTTTCTGTGGCCAGCAATCTGAGAATCTGAAATCCAGGTTGAACCGCATCTAGAGTTCGCAATTTCTCGACGTTTCGGCTTTGACTTGTAGCCATTTTTAAGAAAGTATAACTGCATTGGGATATCAATCTGCCTACTCCTCAGGTAGTGACAGGCTTCAAGGATTTTGTGACTTGATCCCTATTTGAGGAAAAACAGTCTCCTAGAAAGATATGCTAGTGGTGACATAAATGTGAAAATCAGTGAATAATAACCAGAATGTAGGTAATACAAAAATAAGACTTTACCACTTTAGTAACCAATGACTAGATGAGAAAACGTAATATATTTACTCGAATTAGAAATACTGCAGATTTATGTGTTTTTGATTATATTGAATCCTTCCTACAAATTTTTGTAATATCTTGATGGTTGCCCTATTAGTGAAACAAAGTCATGCACGTTCGGATGTTACCTTTTACTTTTTTCTCTTTCCAATTTATTTTTTCTATTAGATATTAACCATTCAAGTTAACATTAACTTACCCAAAATTCAGAAGAAAAAACTAACAAATACTAAACATTTCCATTGTATTGTTATTGTGTTCGTCTTTCACAATATTCCGCCTTATTTTGTAAAGTTTAAAATTTGTGCTATGTCCCGTAAATTAATGTTAATTTTGGTGGTTCCCGTTAATTCCAAATATGCATTTTGACTTGAGTCTTATTGCCTAGCATCAAAAAATCCAAAATCCTTAGAGACATGGCATGTTCTTTATCCTCTAGTGTGGTCGTTAATCGCATTGGCAACAAGCATGATCGTGTTGGCACTGCTCGCACAAACTGACTAATGGTATGCAAGAATTTTTTTTCGACCTTTTTCATCTAGTACACTAGGAATACTAGTAGGGTATCAAACAAAAGAAGCTTCCACTCGAAATTGGTATTGAAAACAATTTTATGGTTCATTCCTGGTTTGGACACTTGAACGAATAAATTTAGCACCAAAAAAATTCCACGCTTTCAACGTTCTCAACGTTCTCAGGGCCACCCTTCATTATTTCAAATGGTTTTTGTCCTAACTGACGAATGATAGGAAACTAAAATACCACTTATGTACAAAGGTGTCGACTTATTTGGTTATTAATCTTGAAATTAAATATCCCCTGAATTCATGGTATGTCATTTCATTTTATGGGATGTTTGAAGCTCAAGTTCCGGCACATCAGACTTCCTATATTGATTTTTCCAATTTTTCTCAAAAACAATAATTATTTGAATGGTTTAAATATATATTTTGGGTTACTTGTATGTTAATAGTATATATTGATATCAGAAATTCTCCAGTTATCATTGGAAGGAAGAATACAGTTCCTTTTACAACTATTGGGATATACAAATATAAAAAAAAGTTCATTTTGTTTCTGAACCCATGGTGTACTTAAATTCTTCAGAGGAGTCAAAAAAAGAAACATGAAAATTTATCCAGAAAGAATTGTGAATTACCCGAGATTTTATGATACAAAGAAATCGAGAATCTTTTAATTTTGCACTCTTTGACTATCAAAAAAGACAAGTGATGATTATATTTCTTTTCTAAGTGTGTCTTTTTTCAGATATTCCCGTTTCCACTGTAGCTGCTGTAATTGTTAAGAACAATTTTGGCTTGCATTTTTCTTGACAATCTAATATTTTGGAGTGGATCCATCTTAATGGAGTAGAGTGAAAACAATCTTTTCTGCTTTCTACTTTCTCATCTTCATACAAGTTTTCAACTTTTCTTGTATAAAGATGGAGAAGTAGAAAAACAAAAACCAATCTCCTCTAAATAAACCTCTTTCAATTTAGGATCATTAATATAACTTAAAGCAAAGGAAATTCAATTATGAATTAGTGTATTTGTATCTTTACTGTATCTCCGAAAGTTTTCAATTTGATGTTTTCTCAAGGTATATTTTTCAACTTGAAGAGGAAATGTTTGAAAACATTCTTGCCGCACCTAATATCAAAGATAGAAAAACGTTTGGAATATTCAGGAGGAAATCCTAGAAAAGTAGGGAGGAGAAATACACCTGTGCTACATTTATTCGTTTCAGTACCATAAAATTGCTATCAACAACAATAGCGAACGTGTGTACACTTGAAACTTGACCATATACATACACAAAATATGTTTGTAAAGATGTAGCAAACATCGTTATAATTAGACTTTCCTCGTAACCCGTGAATAAATGTGAAGAGTTGAGAAAATGTCTATAGATATATTTTATATTTGCTACTTCTTTTGCCTACACATTTTAGTTTTTAATACATCAGTAAGTTCTGTTTTTACACAAGGACCACGAAGAATGAAATACAGTTTATATTTGCATGTTGCGAATGATATTAAAATGAGGCATGAAATGATTCAATTCAAAAACCCTACATCTGAACACAATACACTCTGCTTGCACATTTTGATCTGTATGCAAAGAACTGCTTATAACATTGCTTTCTAATGATTCTAATTCTTTCGCTTGCAGCTTTCTTAGAAGCTTATCTACTGCATTGAGAAAAAATATCCCTTCCATATTATGAATTATATTCGGTTTGTTCTTTTCGTACAGATTAACGATTTGTCTGCTTCTGATAAAAAAGGCAAATCTTATATTGGTATCTCAAGACTGCTATTTTAAGGTTTCGGTGAAATAATATTATACTAGCAATATCAGGGAAGGACTAATCAATTAATGGAAGAAAAAATATATTTGCAATGTGAAACTCAAGGTTGAATGAATTCGGGAAATTCTGGTCTAGACTTTATTTACAGAAGTTCCAAGATAATTCTTGTTAACTTTGCTCTGCTTAAAACCTGTGGTTGAGTGCCACCGTTAATAACAGTGTTAATTTTTTATATTAATGTATGGTTCATAGAGTCTTTGACGGATCTGATGTTAATAACAAATGTTTTCAATTCAATCAAATCTTCAATTCACATTGCCTCACAGGGATTCATTCCTCACAAGGATCCAGATGTCAAGTGGTATCAAGTCTGGTGACGTAACTGTATGTTCCTTTTAACTCCAATTGATTTGAGATATTTTTATTCAAGAACTATAAAATGTTGACATCAAAATCCTGAAGAAACCATCTTATTAATGCATCAGATTTGTAATCTGATCTTTTAACGAGTTCAATGATTAGGTCTCAAAAATATGTACAATATAGATTTAGGCACGGTCTAAATTCTTTTTCACACTAGTTATAATTTAATTCTATTTTTCCACACTATGTGTGATAAAATCGAATTAGAAATTTTTTGCTACCACTTTTCGTTTTTGTAAACATATAATCGTTCACATTTCTGAAAAGGTTCAATGCCATACTTAACATCGAGAGCAATTTTCCATCCAAACCAAAAAAATACCTAAGATATGGATGTTATATTTAGTTGTAATTCATTGTCATCTATTGAAACTACTTTCAGTCAAAAGGGAAATGTCAATCTACGAAATTGCCGGTACTGGGTAAGGAATAATCCTTAAAGAACAAAATACTCCACACTCAGGACACAACAGGAAGTTAATGTTTGGGATTGTAAAAGAGATATGATTGTAGGACTAACATACTTCAATAACAAATTCAATAGAACAAATTATTAGAGATACTACCAAAGAATACAAAGCCCATAGAAGCTCAGAACTGATATTTTCGTGTAACCTAAAATTTTTAGTACTTACCCTGACCACCAGAGGGCAATGCTAGTACGATGTCGGTATTTAATGTAATTACCAACAGAATTGGGTAGCCTCAGTTGATAGGGTAAAGGAGCCAGGCTCCAACCTGAACGAAATCGAGACGACTTTCTACAATTGGGTAGCAGTCGCTGACAAACCAGTCGGCTTTTTAATTTAGTTTAATTTTGGCGTACATCCCGATTCGATATGATCGCCCTCTGGCGATGGCAGAACGAATAGAAATAATCGTCTGTTACCAGATAAACATATATTTCAAGATGATACACCTCATTTTGTTTCACAAACCAATGTGTTAGTAGATGAGGAGCACTAAGAGTCGACTATATTTCTGGAACTCTCACTACTGACCCAAGTATGTCGAAGTAGCTTAGTTAATTTGAGTAACTTGAAAACATAAACCATTTAATCCTATAGAAGGAATTTTCACTAAAATTGTGCCTAGAAATTATAATGTTGTTTCTATGCATTTGAATATAATACATTTCGTTATTGGTAATGTAATGTGTTATGTAATTTCTATTATGTTCATTTCTTTAATAAATATTTCAGATGCTCCATGCTAAAACACTGAAATTGACATTTGTACACAACGTGTTTGGAAGCATCTTCAGAGCCAGTCTTTTTATCATTTTTCTGTTTTTCAATAAATTATCAATGTTTCACATACCTGTAGCAGATTTTTACATAATAACGAAACGATTCAACTATAATATACTAAAAAATATCCAAACGGATTAAACAAATTCACACTATATGAAACGTCTAGATCACAATTTACTGATTTTATTCCACTTTGATAGTTCCTACCATATGGTTTAAAAATAATACTTTTTAATCTATCGCCGCTCAGCAATTAATATCCTGAAAAATAATTTATACTTTCCTTACGATCTTTTTATAAGCATGGATATAAATATATAATATCACTTCTTTATTTTTGTAGGAATAAAAGAGTTACATTTCATTTAACTTACTGTTTGTTAACAACTTAAAACAAAAGGCAAATATTTCAAATGGTATTCCATAAAAATAAATTGTCATACATATTATCTAACTTGACAAAATTGTAGAAATATACATCTTTCTTCCTACAAAAACTATTTTTCAAGAAATCCAGTATTATAAGGTTTGGATTTGGAATGAGATCATTTCTAACCACCTTCTCAGTCACAAAATAAAGCCAGATGTGTAATTTTTTTCAGCTGGTTTACTTGAATTGTTCATCCCTGCTATTGCGCATGAAATAATATTTTCCATTCATTCCAGTTATTGATACTCAAGAACACCTATACACGAATATTTCAAGAACACTGTCAATCAATAATTTGGATTGACAGTATCTCTATTTTATACAAGTGAGGTGGCACAAGTGAAAAAGTTGAAAAAACAAATAACGAATATGACTCCAACTTCTCACTCATCATAACTGTGACACTCTTTTCTAAGCTCTTTTCGCCAACTTTGACTTTCATCACTGAATTGATCTATTTAGATCAATTCTTGATGACATCAACTTGGTTTGTGAAACGCTAGCTGAAAAAAGTGTTTTAGTTGTGTTATATAATAGAAGTATTTTTGCTGGATTCATTCTATATGAGAGTTTCCAGTTCTGCCTTTTAGTAATAAATACGACTTCATTGGTACAGTGAATCTCAACTTTGATATAGATACCAGGGTCAAAAGACACTAAGGAATTGAATGAAGAAGCAATCTTATTAACAATTTTGTGGCGATTTAAATCAAGTAAGTTACTACTTGAATGAGTTGAACAAAAGCAGAAAAAAGTAAAACAGTGGCACTCATGGTAGCACGCAATACAAAGAACTGTCAGCTAAAGTATTATCCGATGAAAGAAATCTCTTTAAAATCTGTTTTTCCGTTAACCAGCTGTCGCACCCCTGCGAACGACAACCCTCAGAAGTCGAAACTTGTGAGAGCTAAGGATTAACAAGGCCTTACTTTTTAACGTGTGATTCCTAACACGGGTTGGACGATAGCAAGTGAAAATCGATCGTTCAGACTGGGGCTTGAACCACCGACCAACACGGTAGTCAATTCGAGTGAGTGAACAAAGTACCCACGTCGAACCGCCTGGAACTAGAGACTATTTATTCTGTAACATTCGTTTTGACAAATTGTCAAATTTTTGAAGTTAATCTACTAGCATCTAACATCAACCCCTGGCAGTCTAATCGAATTCGACAGTATCCTTGTGATTCAGTATTCCAAAACCCATGTGAGTTACAAACAAATCGAATATGTTCAACAATATGTAGATACGATGTTATCTTCTCTTACGAAGACGCCATCTATGTGGGAGCAATCCACGACTATCAAAAATAAACGAGGCTCTTCAAAATGGTCAAAGCTAAGCTTCGAAATCAACCGCCGAACGAGATTCGTTCTCTCTCTTTGACTGCAGCTTTCACTGCAAGACCATTAAATGATACCAGGTTGGCATGGTTGTTTTTTTTTTTCACTAGAATTACATTTATAAAGTTATTGTGAATGTATATTTTCTTCAATTCAAAATCAAAATGGACCCTAAACACTAAACAAAAGATGTGATTCTATGATACGAAAAATATTTTTGGCATTTTCACTTTGTCAATCATTTGTCTTTTGAATATCATGTTTTTATTTCACATATTCCAAATAATTGACGTAAACTTTGTTACTAAATGAATTTTCAGAAGATTTTTATCAACAAGAACCCCAGTTTACAATAACAACCACAGAAGAGATAGACCCAGTCACTGGAGCAAAGTAAGTTTTTTTAAATTGTTTTCAGTTTTAGTTGATTTAAACTTTCATTTCTGTTTTATGTAATAGGTATTTTTTATGTAGTTTTTCATACAAACATATATCAAGAAAACATCGGTTAAGAAATGAAGGAGAAGTAATAGATTTCCACTACTTGCATTGATGAAACAAACTATTTGTGTAATATATCTGTGTTAATCTTCTTATGAAAATCTTCAGTGGGATACCAAGGTTGTTGTTACACATTTTTGAGAAATTATTTTGATAATAAAAGTATACCTATATGATCAAACAATAATTTTTATTAACTACTACTGTTTGTCATTTCCCTTCAGATCCTGTGAGGTCAATCTACTGAAAAGCTATAAGCTTTAGTTGTAGGGAAAGAGAGAATTCTTGGGTTTATTTCTATTAATTAAAAACAGAACTCTCTGACATAGAGCTAATCCAATACAAACCCTTCTCTCAAACACCAGAATTGCAACACTATCCTCGACGCAATTTCACGAACGAATTTGGCATCTTCAAGCACATGCTTCACCAACCAAGTTGGCGTCCCTTGGGGATAGTGTTGCAGTTCTGATGTTTGGGTGCTTGTTTTGGATCTACTTACACTAGTCGGAATCCAAAACTTAATCAACGAAATGAGAGGCAAAACCAACAAAATGATTCATGCTGTAGGTACTTTCAAATTAGAATATTGTTGTAAATCATGCACGTAAGAAAATAACGCCGGCCGCCGCTGGTAGCCATAAACCAGGCGTGACGTGGCTAAGAGCGCGCGAGTGCACGATGATTCCCCGCCAATCGAGAAGCAACGAGAATAATGCTACCGACTTCGACAGCACTTCGGAGAAATTTCGACAACACTCGATTACGATATTTAAAGGCTAGCCACGAGGCTATCGGGACAGTCAAGTGGACGTTACAGTGCGGTACGCGAAGTGATCTAGTAAGGCGATAGATATTCAAATAATAGTTGAAGTTTTAGTTGAAGTATTTGTGTATTTGAAGTGAAATAAAGTTAAGTTCGATTATTCAGTGTAGTCAATTATTGCTCAACCCACGGAAAAACGCAACATTTGTTGTCGGAAGTGGAATAATTGACTGAAAATTTTCTGTTTTATGGTGAAAACAAGGAGTGTCGATTACGACGAAATGCAAAAGCTTGAGAAAATGTGAGGCTTTGCAAGCGAGCCTGGCAGAGAATGAAAATCACAAAAGAGGAAGAACGAAATGAAGATCGTGAATTACTACTAGGTATTCAGGAAAAACAGGAAAAAAGCAGAGACTTGCTGGTGAATATTCAAGAAAAACAGGAAAAAGACAGAGACTTGCTGGTAAATATTCAGGAAAAAGACAATCAGATGTATCTTCATCTATTGGAAAATTTAAAATCTTCTCAAGTGAGTAAAGAAGAGGTACAGGAATTTATTCAGGAAGAATTTGGAAAAGTGTTTCAGGAAACTAAGGAGGGATTAGAAAAAGCACTCGATGAGAAGCTTGAGGGGGTTGAAAAGAAATTTGAAGAGGAGCTTGAGAAAAAGCTTGAAGGAGTCGACAAAAAGTTTGAAGAGCTTTTCCGGGAACTTCGAAAAGAATTACCGTAACCGAAAAGGATTACTGTAGAAAAATGCAAATCGGAAACATCTTCCCCTTCTAGTAGTAGTTTCATTAAAACTCCAACTTTCGATGGTGAATCTTCATGGTCATTCAGACAAATTAAGGCCGCTGCAAAAAATAATGGATGGAGAAATGAGGAGAAAGCAACAGCTCTCATACTGGCACTACCAGGAACTTCCACAATTCTGCAAAATATTCCAGTGAGTAGGCAAAAGGATCATGAAGCAGTCGTATAATATGGTAGTGAGCACCTTCAACAAGTCTACTAAGCTCAACTGAAGGTGAGATCTCAAGGTCCATCAGAAAGTTTGCAAGAGTTTGGAGCTGAAGTCGAGAGGTTAGTAAGAGTCGCCTACCCAGAAGCCCGGATGGAAGAACCCACAAATTCCACATGATCCTTCCTAAGACGTGTATCCCGAATATCCTAGAACAGCTCCATGATGGTCGTATTGGAGGGCATTTCGGAGTAAATAGAACTCTAGCGAGAGTGCGTCAGAGGTACTATTGGGTCAATTGCCGTTGAGACGTGGAAGAGTAGTGTGAGCGCTGTGACCTGTGCTCTTCGAAAAAGGGTCCGAAGACAAGACAGAGAGGAAAGTTGAAGCAGTACCTCAGTGGGTGCCCTTTCGAGAGAATAGCAGTCAACATTTTGGGACCACTCCCTATGACCACATCCGATAACAAGTACCTTATGATTGTGATGGACTACTTTTACAAATGGCCTGTAGTAGTAGCTTTATCCAACCAAGAGGCTAAAACGGTGGCAGTAGCCCTGTTGCAGAACGTAATTGCCAGACACGGAGTACCCCAAGAACTACACTCGAATCAGGGCCGCAACTTCGAATCGGATTCATGGAAGGAAATGATGACTCTGTTGGGAAAAAAGAAGACAAGAACAACTGCTCTTCACCCACAATCCGATGGAATGGTCAAGAGGCATAATCGCACCATCAATAACTACCTCTCAACTGATTGGTAGTAAGCCAGTTACATCATTTTTTGTGTTACAAATTGACATTAAAATAAAGATCAAATCTCCTATTTGGGCTTTGAAAAAAATTTATAATGTGGTGACTCTGCAGTGATTGTTATATTTCATGAGGTCATATTATCTGCAGCATGGACTGCCTACTATTCAATCATTGAGATTCAGTAACGTTATGAGAAACATACTGAGACTCTGACAGTCAGGTGCCAAGAGTCGTTTTATAGAAACGAGCCCTGAGAAGTGTATATAAAGTAAACTTTCGAGATTCATGTTCTAAAATTTCTAAAAATGATAAAATCCTGACATTGTTTGATATTTTCATTATAAATATAGAAAATAATTTGAGAATAACATCAAAAGAGGAAATATTTATCAAGGAAAACTCTTCCACTATCTGGTTTATCACTAGTAAAATAATCTTTAATATATTGGAGCAAACAGAAAATCTGTTTTTCCTGACGAAAAAAGTCTCTGCAGACTTCACTTCAATTATAGTATTTTAATTTTTTTAGTAACTGAATGCTATGGATGTGTACGTAGTTTTCATGTAATTGTATTGAATTTGTCAACAAAATGTTATCATTTTGGACAATAAAACTTATCTATTTGTCTAACAATTCTACCTCTTACTCTGTTTTCAGAATTACAAGAACGGTTAGGACAGCAAGCCAAATGATATCGTCACCATCAAATCAAAGTGAAGCTGATTTTCGACATTCAGTGCAAACTGCCTTGGATCAGTTCATGGCTGAGGAGCGAAATCCTCATTAAAATAAGAAGCCTATATAGATTGTAGGGGCAATACAATTGCTACTTAAATCAAATTGGAAAGGCTATTTTTATCGACGTTCTTTGAACAGTATTGTCCCAGTGATTTATTTATACACTTTTTAATTGTATTTATTATTACTTGTATGCTGCTTCTCAGATTATTGAACGATTTTTATTTCACTTGAATGCTCTATTCAAATTCTTAAATGATTATAATTTTCAATGACCAATTATGACAGTTGTGAGATTTTAATACTTATTATTGTATAGCAAGTTATAAATCAGCGACGTGTTCTAAAATCAATGTACATTTTACTACTTAAAAAATATTTTCAAGTTTTTAAAGAAAAGTTATACAATAAAGTTATATATAAATGCATTTTCAGCTTAGCTAGAAAAAAGTTGTTCAATTCCAGTTGGTTACATAATTAATAGCTGTTATGTATAGTGCCTAGACTATGGTTTTTACTTAAAAAATATTTTTATGTAAGAATTGTTGTTTTCAATTAAATTCATGGTGGTGCAAGAACTTCATTCATTCAAGAACCGTCTTTTATTTTATCATCTTGGTAATTGTTTCATAGAAAAAAACGTTTTGTCACTCTCCATTATTACATAGAAAGAGGGAAGTTTCCAAAAAAGAAAGAAATTATTGAAATACAATTGAACAGGTATCATTCACAGGATTCCTACACAACATACTAAATGAAAAGATCATGCACAGACGTTTCATTCACATATAAACGAAGAAAAAATTCAAATTAACGAACACTGAATTATAAAAAATAATTTTTTTCCATTCAATTTGTATTGGAAACATTCGTGATGGAATTGAAACGGATGTGAAAGAGTATTGGTATTAAATTTCACTTATGTGGAAAACTTTCAATCTTCAACTTGGAAGTTTCAGATGAAACACTTAACTTCAACTCCTCGTTAGTATCAGTGGAAGAGACCCGTCTGCTTTGTCACAATGAAAGTTTGTGAAAATCATTCATACAGTTAGTTAATTATCCCCTGGAATATTCCCTTTTCAATTAATTGTTGTTTTCCACCAAAATAATTATTATTAGGGCCCAATGGGGCCAATGCAGAAAATTATAACTCTTTGAATTGGCACTTTCAAATCTGTCAAGCGACACTCAAAATCACTTTTCAAAATTCACCTTGAACCAATAATGATTATTATGGGGACCATGAAATGAAATACATCTATTGTACTGATCATTTTGAAATCAATATCTTATCTTTAATCCAATAGATAGTCAATATATGTGCAAAATTTCCACAGTTATAACTATACTCCAAAGAAATGAATGTTGTACAGAAAATAGAGATAGTTCAATGTATTTTTTCAATCTTGATAGCAAATGTAGGGACACTATTGAAACTCCTGATAGAGAGGGATGGAACATCTAGCACGTTGGAGGGATTACCAAATGTATCCTGGACACTACCGATTACTATGTATACACCTTTTTGGACAGTGTGTTACAGCCTTGACGGCATTGCTTCATTTTTGATACTTAAAACTGCATGTTCCTACGGAAAGTTTGATGGTAAGTACAAAAAATGACATCTCAATAAAAATGTATTTAGTTCTACATGCAACGGGCATTAATTATCCAAATTTTATTAATTTCTTTCAACATGAGATGTGGATAGATATGATTGGAATGTAGAAGTGAAACCTCTGACATAAAGCACTATTCCCAAACACCAGAATTGCAATAGTCATTTCGAGTCACGAAAGTATATCCAGTTAGATAAAAATTGAGAGAGTTAGGAATTCATCTCCTGAAGACGTCAACTTGGTTGGTGATACGCGCGTCGATAATAGTATTGCAGTTCTGGTGTTTGAAAACAGTGCATGTTTTGGATAGATATGAAAATAAAGATAATAATAATGAAAAATTAATGATAAACAGTAAAAGTAGGTAAATAAAGAAATACTTGTAAAGGATAAATCACTGTGAATGGGTAGAGAGATGGACGAAAATATGGAAAATCCCTCAACTCTTTCAGTGTCACTCCTACTGTAAAAATACTTTAAGATAATTTGTTCCTCATGAAGGACACAGCTTTATAAGGTGTATATTGTTACGTTGGATTTTTATGCATTGGAAGCATTGTGTATCCACCGAGGGACTTTCTATTTTACAAGTATGTTATATCATGTGTCATCTATAATGAAATGTTTTCAACCATTCACCAAGCATAGACAGAATAATAATAACAACTAAATGGTATGACATCACGTCCAGTTGATACTGGGTCTACATTTGTTGATATTGGTCAAGAGGACAAGTGGGACATGACTCAGAAGAAATATGTGAAAGTTCCCAGACCTGAAGCAATAAGCTCATGTAATCAAAATGTTGAAGGAGATGGTGAGAATGATATTTCATACCTTGGATCTTGCCTTGGACAATTTCTGGTTGGAATATAAACTACAGGCTCTTGCACTTTATGTAAGGAAGAAAAGATTTTCTTGAATTCAGCAAAGCAGTAGGAGAGCATCTCATCTCATATACGGACTGTCTAAAAAGAGTACCACCAAGACAATCAGAATATCCACTATCATCTACTGAGAAGAAATGTAATTAAACAAGACTATTTGAAGAGCTGGCATATTAGAGTGATGTAAACGAAAAATCCACATATCCCAAATAAACTGTCAAAAAAAAATAATCCTAAGATTTTTACTATTGTTGAAACTGCACCAAGTTATATTGTCCCTGTTGACGGACCAGCAAACGGTTGAAATTATAATATTTTTCAAAGAATCTAATAGTTTAATTGAAACTTTTATATTTAATTATAGTGCTATTTTTTTAAAGCAATGTTCAGGCTATCTTCCAAGATGTCTGAGAAGAAAGGGTAAAACCTACTATTAAAATGCCTAACATTTGTTTTCTAATCCTTGCCCAGGGGCACTTAAATCGTGAATCGAGATGAAGTTAATAAAATCTTTGTCAATACCAAAGAAACCCGAATGAAAGGAAACAATGATATCAAAACCGATGCCAAGGGTGTAAAGAGAGATACCACCTGTTAACAAAATTCTGTTACACCTAGAGATGATTCAATTTCACAGCATATACCACCTGAAGAAGTTGCCCTTCCTCCTACCTTCTGATTAATATTCAGAGTATATGTTGAAACCAGCATTACCGTTCTCTGTTTTTACCAGAAGATTTCGTTGCACCAATATTTCTATGGATTGATTTCTTTTTTGGCCTACTTGAAATTTTCAACTTTCTGTAAACAACAGGATTCTAAATACATGATATTATGACCTATTTGGCGGTTGAAATGACTTTTTAATAATAATAATAATAATATTTATTCAGCATTTTGATTACATTTATGTAATGGGTAAACAAACATAGGCATCACAGAAGCAAAATTTCTGAAAAAATGTTCCTTTTGCGTGATAATCCCAAAATTAAAACTATATCTAATTTTAATTTACTAAGTATTCGATACAATGGATAGATTTAAACTATCAACTATAAATTAGCATAACGAAATGAATTATAGAAAAATAAACTGAATGATGGAATTGAAATGAATTACTTTTTATTGAATTCATTCTACAGTTTAATTCTCACTTATGAAAGTTGTATTAAGTATTTTTTAGAAAGTGGGCTGATAAATAATTTGATGAAACGGAGTTCGACCAGAATTTTTTAGTTCTTTCTTAAACTTGAATTTATTTTGTTTATTACAGCAAAAGCCAAACATTTTATGCACAGGTTGGTCTAGGCACATTGAAATTAGGTTATTGCAGAATATGTGGGTCAATAACTAAATTATTAATCGGTTAAAAAAAATTGTGGAGTGACAATCACGACGTCCACTCAAGCTATTCATAGCATTTCTAGCTAACAATGCATCATGGGGAAATCTAATTGGTGGGTAAATATTGTCCGATCTATAGGAGAGAAGTTTTGCAAGACATACAAATGCTCTGTACAGAGGCGTATCATTACTTGTCCTCCAATGCTGTTGGCGTTTGGCATTGTCTGAATAATTCGTGTTGTTTCTGAAAAAATGTCAACACTTAACAAAAATTCATTTTTGGATAAGTGTATCATTATATAACATTTTAATGAACTGTACTACTACCTATAATACTAAATAAAATATGAAAAGAAATTACAAAGAAGTCATGTTTCATTTGCTACCCTAATTAAAACTAATTTAGTTACGACACTGGCCGGCAAGGGACTTATCGTAATTCAATAGTAATTTAGTTGGGAAAGTCTATACCTGCACGATCACTTCCCATCACGTTTGGCACTTGCTGTAATTAGTTGTATTTTTTCCGGTAATACTTTCCAGATCTTTGGGGCAAGATAACTAGTGTCTTTAACCTACCAATTTTGACATCTCGGAGCTAAAAATGTATTTTCTTTTCTTTGGGTATTATACATGTGTTCCACAGGTTTTATTTTTATTTTGTTCTCAACGACTTCTTCAGGCAGTGTAGCTGCCGTGTATGGCCGGCCGCACATTTCCTACAGTCAGATCCGATTGTCTGAAACGATTTCAAATCGGACCACCACCGTACATTGCCGACAAAATACTTCCGATTTTATTTTAATTTCGTTGTGCAATACAATACGATGAAGATTTATTGGCAATTGTGTTTCTACTCTCACAACGGAAGAAATAAATTAGACGACGCTATTGGATACATCCGTTGAATACAAAAAAAAAATCAACAAAGTCAGTTTCACACTTTGCATCTCAAGTTACCTGCTCATGCAGATAAATTTTTCGATTATTATCGAATGTCAATTACGTCTTTCAATGAACTACTTAATTCAATTCAAGGGGATATAAAAAAAACGGGACACACACTTGAGACTTGCAATTTCCCCAGAAGAACGGTTAGCCATCACTCTCTGGTAAGAAAGTGTTTAGTATTAATTAGTTACAATGTAAGGTATAGTACAGTTGAAATAGCAAATGCGCTACCGTGAAAAATCAGTAAGTCGCCCCAAAGCGCTTCGGCACCCAAGATGTTTAGCCGACCCTTGCCCGCACAAGACTCTGCCTTCTGGGCGCACTCGTACGAGTGTACCACAAAAGGGAAATATAAAATAAAAAAAAGGTTTGGTACATAATATTTACTTATTATTATTATTGACTTGGAGAAACTCATATACTACAGCATAATCAACATGTCCTGACATGTTATGTTGTGAATGCTCCAAAGGCGATAGTGATGATTGTATTTGATATGACGGTACTGGCCCAGTGGTATTAATGTCTTGATTAGGACTTGGACTCTGAGCGAAGATCACCTGAGGGCTGAGGGCTCTGTGAGTAGCTGTGTGACGAAAGCGAAGAATAAACATTTCGTGTAGGTGGGGGTAATGTAATTTTCTACACTAGTTGTAACATTCCAATTTTGAAATCCATTTTCTGACTTTTTGTCATTGTTTTCAAGTCGCTTCGAAAACCTAACAGAAATTTTGTATCGTCGTCTTCAACTACAGGTTCTTGTTCCCTCTGCTTCATTATTTCCAGATTTGACTTGGTATATCTTTTTTAGCCGTCTTCCTTTCCTCAGATACTTCCTTCGTGATATGGTCTGTTACATTTGAGTTTTCCTCTACTCTATCTCCTTCTTGTCTAATCCCATCTGTGGAAGTTCCTTCATCTCCATTGTCCTTCGTGGCAGAAAAATACAAATCAAATCAACGTATGTGTTACTAAAATATTATATTATATGCATTTACCGCCGACTCTGCATATTTGGAGTTAAAAATGTTAGTAGGTCGCTGTAAACATATTGCTTTTGTTTTTTAGCGCCTGATCCTGTTGGGGTATTTTTAATTTTATTAATATCTCTCCA